CACCGCCACACCCGACTTAGAAAACCATTTGGCAACCTCTTCCAAATCGACCTGGTTGATTTGGATACCAATTTTGCAACTGGAGGCTCCTTCGTTGAGAAAAGCCATCATGAGGAGCTTTTCAACCTTTCTAACGCTACTGCGCCTAGCAGACTGGGTAACGCCAGCCCGAAGCGACACAACAACATCAAGCAACACGGCCGCGAAGCCGTGCTCCCCCAAGAGCTTTGTATTCCCCACGGAGCTCGAGGGCGCAGACCTCGTGGGCGTAACGGCGGCCGAGGTCAGAGACCTGACATTCAACCCATTGACACCAGAGGGTCGCGCAGCCATCCCGTCGACGGGTGTCAGCTTCTGCAACGTGACGGTCAAGTACGTCCACACGGGCTTCGACGACGTGACGCAGGTACAGATATGGCTTCCATCTGCTGAGGCGTGGAACGGACGGTTCGTGGGCGTCGGAGGAGGAGGGTACTCGGCCGGGCAATTTGGGAGCGAAAAAGTCGTTGCGACGCTGGCGCAGGGATATGCGAGTACGTTTTCAATCATTGATTCTTTCCGTCTTTGTTGCTGGTTTGAAGACGTGTAAGCGAAATGAGCTGACCGCGTGATAGCAAGTTCAACGGACGCCGGGCACGATCATACAACGTGGGAAGAGGCGCCTTGGGCGCTGAATAAGGATGGCACTGTCAACGAGCGATTGCTCGTAAATTACGCCCACGTTTCGGTGCACGACATGACCATCATCGCAAAGTCAATTGTAGCGCAGTACTACTCTCGGACGCCAGAGTACTCGTACTGGAGCGGGTGCTCGACAGGCGGCCGGCAGGGCATCATCGAAGCGCAGCGGTATCCAGGCGACTACGATGGCATCCTCTCGGGCGCGCCGGCCGTGAACCAACCTAGTCTCATCATCAGCACGTACTGGCCTCAGTTCGTGATGAACCAAAAGGGTGTGTACCCGCACATCTGCGAGCTGATTCTCATGACGCAATTCGCCGTCGATGCGTGCGACGAGCTTGACGGCGTGAAGGACAACATCATTGCAGACCCGGATAATTGCCTGTTCGACCCGACGAGCGTGGTTGGCAAGGAGCTTGACTGCGGGAACATGAAGATGGTCATGTCGGCGGAGGCTGCCGATGTGGCGCGGGAGATCTGGCGGGGCCCGCACGGCGCGGACGGGAAACCGCTTTGGCTGCCAAAGGGGTATCCAGTTGGCGCACCCTTTACTGGCCGCTTCGGGCTCGGTAACACAAACTGCAGTGTACCGAACGCGCCCTGCGTCGGTCGGCCATTCCAGATGTCGGTGGAATGGATCCGCAACCTCGTGCACAAGGACCCGAGCTACGACGTGAGCGGTATGGCGTTTGCCGATCTCGAGGCGGCATATAAGACCAGCAGACGGGAGTTTGACAGCATTATCGGGGCCAATAATCCAGACTTGTCTGAGTTTAAGAGACTTGGGCGCAAGATGATTAGCTGGCACGGGCTGGCCGACGAGTGTGTAACGATGCGCACATCGAGAGACTATTACGACCGGGTGTTGGCGGTGGACACGGCGGCGGATGGGTATTATCGCCACTTTGAGGCGCCAGGAGTGTACCACTGCTATGGGCTGAATGGAACGTTTTACCCGCTGAAAGGGTTGGAGACGCTGCGAGCTTGGGTCGAAGAGGGGAAGACGCCGGCGGTGATGGATGGGTTTAAGCTGAGCGGGGGGAACGACAGCGCGGCGCCGACGAGGCCATTATGCGCGTATCCTGCGACAGTGAAGTATGTTGGTGGCGACGCGAATAAGAAGGACTCGTGGATCTGCGAGAAGCAATCAGCCAGTTGCCCGAAGTCAGACACTCCTGAATGGAACAGGGACGAGTTGTAGTGTTGATGCCATGCATGATGGTAAAAGGTAATCTGGTCTAGTGTAATAATTTGAATAGCATCCTATCGGTAGAGAAAAAGAATAACAGTAATTTCGCGGAATGAGACCATGGAGATGAATGACCTGATAGAACTATGATGTTGCCGGACGGGAGCTGGAAATTTGCTTCCGGAGGGTTCTTCCGGAGTGTGGTCCACCAATGGTGGAGAAGCACCTCGGAGGTACTGTGTACGTCTCCGGAGGAAATGGCCCGCTCAGAACAACGCTTATCTCATCTTGTGCTGCTTACATAAGAACATCACGAAGGACCCCGACACCCGCAGAAAAACGTAACTCCATCACGGCGAACCGAGGTGGGTCCGCTGGACCGTCGGCGTCCCAAAACCCGAATTTCCCAGTTTTCAGGGTCCAATCCCCCGCCAGTGGTGGTCCCCCCATTGCCCCCCGTCTCCCGTACTACTCGTGCTACTGGCCCACCCCTTGGCCCCTCTCTGCTGACTTTAGCATCTTTTGCCGCCTCTGCTTTTCCCCTTGTTAGCAAATTCCCATGGGCAAAGCCGCAAAAGGCCGCAAAAACATTCGCCACCTCTCACAAAGGGCCCGACGCCAACTTTCCCTCTTAAACCACCCTCCTTTCGATCGCTCTCGATCCCCATTCCTCGCTCCATGTCCGAAGATCGAGCCTCAACACCACCGATCTATCGGCCCTCTTCGACATCCTGGACAAACCACCACACACAACCAACACTCGCACCATTTGCCCTGCTGGCTGTGTGGTCCCCGACGCTGCCGCTGCCGCTGCCGCTGCCGCTACTGCTGCCTGTCGCACCGCACCGTCCAGCTCCATGACCTTTGCGTCTGCGGACCTGCTCCGATCGCTCCGGGCCTAGACCCCCGGGCTTATTCGATTCGTTCGGCCTCGGTTTCAGGCCTTGTCTGTTATTCCATCTCTTCTTCGGGTGGGCATATCGGCCCCTCTCTGCCGGGTGCGTTCCCTCCGTGCTTAGCCGGCCCTTGGGCCACCGCTCCGATTGATGCCTTCCGGCCCCTCCAACCCACGATCCGCCTCTACCCCGAAATCAGGGTCGTCGCCCGCTGGCGCCCATGGCCCGACTGCTGTAAGTACCGGCAGTGATGGCCAAGACGAACTCGGGTCTCCCAATAGGGTATCTTGGAATCATCTTCGTCAGGGCGAGAGTCATCAACGCGTGAGTCTATTTTACCTTGTGCCCCCCTCTCCCCTTCACATCCGTCCCTTATCGGGAGGCCTTATCGGGCCCACCCGTCGTCTCTATCGGAACATACCCAACTTCATCATGTCGTGGGCAACCTCGCGCTCGTCGTGTCAATGTAGTAATTGCTCTCTCTGACATCTCGATCCCTTAGATCCGCCATGGTGCCCAGCAGTTACTTCGCCTAACCGGCAGATTCCCCGCCTACAATGCTGCCAGCCCTGAAGGAGGCTATGATGCCTCCAACGATCACGCCTTACCCACCGAGGACGACTTGCGCGCCATGTCAAGATTATCGCACAGCATCGCCCGCGACATACACGAGATCAGGACCCTTCAAAGGGAAGACCCCAACGCTCACAAGCGCAAGTCGGGGGGCGAGGGCAGTAGTGAGCAGCAACAGCTCGTCGCGGCCAGGAGCCACGCCGGGAACAGCGGCAGTCCCCCGGGTCGTAGGCATCGCCGGAAGACGATTGATTTCTCGTGCCACAAATGTCACCGCGTCGATACCCCGGAATGGCGGCCTGGTCCCGATGGTCCCAGTACGCTCTGTAATGTGTGCGGACTGATTTACGCCAAACGCGAACGCAAGAAAGAGGAATCGACGATGCCCACCTTTGGATCTCGCTAACTTTCCTATACATCTTTTCCTTATAATTTCCCTTCTTATTCTTCTTCTTTTTATTCCTTTCCTCACTATTTACACTAAGCTACGTTGACGGATATATGGGGCAGAAGGAGCAATCTTTCATCGGTTCTGAAAAATGAAATTACGAGACGACTGCAAGGCGTTGGAAGCTGCTTTTAGGCATTGATACCCAACACGATGAGATGGATATGGACTACTTTTTGGGGGTTTTCTTTTTTTTTTTTTCTCTATTCTATTGGGAGACCTTATTTCGGCTGGTGTTTGGCGCAACGGACAGGTGGATTATGAAATATACCCGACTAAAGAATCAAATCAATTTTGCCCTTTATTACCTCGCTATGATCAGCTACCTTTGCCATTTCCACGTCGCAACGTTACCCGGAAAGGTGGGTAATGTGGCTGAAAACCAGGAGACGGTTCCCATGTCTCGTTGAGGCTCAGGCGGCATCGTCTCTTCTCAACAGATCATCCCCCGTTGACAGCTAGGCGGAAGCAAGGGCTAACCCGTGTCTGACTTTGGCTCATCCGCATTCGACACACAGCGACGCAGCTGAGGGATGCTATTTTGACAGACAAAGACAGGAATGCCCCTCCCGCCTGAAGCTAGCTCCCTCCCCCGCTCCTCTCGTCGTCCTGTACCTCAATCTGCCTAGTCTGCGGCAGGTCGCGGATGAGCCGGGGTGAAGCTATGCGGCGGCGGCGGCGGCGACAGCTCAGCTCCACAGCCAACAGCATAATGTCTCCGATGAGCCGCGCCGAGGGGGAAGATGCGGGGAAAGGTAAACGAACCCACACGGCAGATCACTCAGGAGGTCACTCCTCCAAAATCCAAGCAAAACACAGCGGTTCATGTCAGCCCACTGGCCGTTTCCCCCAACTTTCTGTTCGTGCCATGTTCCCCCGGAAACTACCAGCGATATGACTGGTTGAATAGGCTCCATAACCGATGTTGCATGCAGCTTGCCAGGCAACATTTCTGGAGGGGAAAAGCTCGTATTCACCATGCTTAAAATGTGTGTCTTGAACCTCCTGACCATCAACCCCCAAAGTTCCCGATTGAGGGGCGGAGTGACCTCAGTCAATCTATTTCGCCGAGCAGCAAGTTCGTGTTCGTCTGTTAACATCGTGGCATGGTCACATCGGTTCGTGTACTTTGGGGCTTGTCTTGGAGGTTAAGTCTATTTCATGTAGGGTGGGATGATCTTTAGTCACAAGTTCCTTCCTGGCAGAGGTTGCAGGGCAGAGGCTCTCAGATAATCGAGGTGCCATGAATGCTCATTTGGGAAATATCGTGACATTTCAATCTGATCGACGCTCGTATCTAGGATTTTAGTCTCTGTGCCGTCGCCCGGCAGCTGAGACCCTTGAGCTTTTCATGACAACATAGCATGACCTTACTTGGAACTTGCGAAAAGGCGGTCACCGGCAGGATATATAAGTCATAGATAGACTCTTGCATCAAACTTCTTGAATAGCATCAGCCTTAACTTCATTTCGATAACATAAACACAATTCATTTAGACCACGAAGCTCCAAATCCAGAGACAATCCTTAGGCCTCCAGAATCTACCAAAGTCCCACTTGAGCACACAAGCCCTCAACCTCCAAAAATGCATTTCAACACCTTACTCATCCCCCTCCTCGCCGCCGCAACCCAAACCTTAGCCCTCGGCAAAGCAACAGTCGTAAACAACTGCGCAACCGAAGTCTCCGTCTGGTCCGTCGGCGGCGACGTCCGCGCCGCGGGACCCCTGGCTGCAAAGGGCGGCTCCTACAGCGAGACCTTCACCCGGGACCCGACCACCGGCGGCCGGGCCCTCAAAGTCACCCGCGCGCGCGACGGCCTGTACACGGGCGCGCCGCAGCTCGTGTACGCGTATAACCTGGACGGCAGCGGCGTGTGGTATGATTTGAGCACCGTGTTCGGGGACGGGTTTAAGGGGAGCAAAATTGTTGTTGCGAGTCGGGTTGCGAGTTGTCCTGCTATTGTGTGGGAGGGTGGGGTTAGTCCTGGAGGAAGTCAGGTTAAGGTCTGTACGGCGGATCAGGATGTTGTTTTAACGCTTTGTGCTTAGGGGGGTTGGTTGAGATGGGATCGGCAGGGTGAGGAGAGGGTGGTTGCAGGTGGTGTTGATGAAGGGGCTGAACTTGAGGGCGAGGAGAGTATGATTACATGCCTATATAGTTTCAATGTTTAATATTTTACCAGCATCCTTTCCACATCCTTTTGATATTTGGATACAAATGGCTACGGCTTACACGGCATCGACTATCTTCAAACTTCGTCTTCAAGCCAGGTAGTACGTTCAAAGACATCCAATGGCTACGCAAGTGGTAAACACTCATGTCATTGTGACTGAAATGTAGCAAGGTATATACTATCTACTAGTGAATTGAACCTATGATACCATGAGCAACACATACTGCCCGTCTACTTGTGTAACATTGGGGATGGTAACCGAGTTGTCTGGCAAGATTCCAATAATCTCTCCGGCCATGAGCTGAAAGAGTACTTCGCTGGTAGTCCCAAGTGCTTTCTTCGCAACTCTGACTGGGGCTGGCTGGACAAATCCTCGAACGGCGGAAAGCATAGAAGGATTAACTAGATGCCAGGGTGTCAGTTCAAGGGTATATTATGCACGACTGATGACACTTATGCAAGAGCACTTACACGGAAACTTCATATCCGCGAGCATAGGCGCGCCAGGGGAACTCGAATTGACGACCCAAGCAAAGCTGTTAACCGGCACCAACCCCGGCGGAACAGCCTGCGGTGATATCCCATTTACGATATCAATGTTGATGCCCATGTCGGTACTCGGAATAACGCTCAGCCTCAAGCCGTCGATAAACTCAGCTTCCTGTCGGTTCCCCGCCGTAACGTTGACCGTTCTCGTAGCCCCTTGGCCGTACTGGACAAACTCGTTGGCAGTATCCTCAGTCTTCCGCCCGAGCAGGATATACTCGCCCTGTAGCGACGCCATCTTGATGATCCGAGTATTGTTTTCCTCTCTGTGCACATTGCGCGTCGCGTCATTGACGATCCAGCTTCGTTTGTCTCCGGCTAGAGTGCCGACGTAGGTGTTGCTCTCTTGTATACCGATCGTGGCGAGAGCCGTCGGGTCGTAGGGGATCTCGATCTTGGCGATGAGGTCGTTTGCCGTCTCGTTGAGGCTGATGACGTACGAGTAGTTCTGGAGAGCCATGAAGGGACCGCCCGTGGTACCTGTCACGAAGTTGCCCGGCAGCGGGGTGAGGTTCTGTTGGACGACCAGTGTGCGGTTCTTGGGTGAGAAGAGGTCTAGCGCTAAGCCGTCTTGGAAGTCCTGGTCGGTTCTTTCCATCTGATGGGCGTTGTCTTTAGCATATGGAAAGATCAACTTTTGGACTGTGATAGGGCACTTACACTGCCGAGAACGTTGATAGGGTCACCAAACTTTGCCTTATCTGCTGCGTCCTGGCCGAGAACGAGGACCGCAGCGGCGGCGAGCCACGGCCCGAAGAGCCTCGCGTGGAAGGAGACCCGACACATTGACTTGCTGAAAGATTGATATTGAGAGACGGATCTACGGTAATATCAAAAAGCTGATTGGTACAAAGAAATAAGATTTGATGGCCAGCCCGAACATGATAATATACCTCCTCAACTAAAAGTCGAAAAGAGACTCATGAACAAACCAGTTCGTCCCCTGTCCAGGGGTCAATCAACCGAAACCACACCCGAACCCCGTGAGCTAGACTGAAAACGCAACATCATGAAGCTTTACTCGCGTCCATGATCTCGTGAATGCCAATAAGTCGAGGCAACCTGTCGGCCGAGCTGCCGAGACCACCTCGATTTCCGAGCAAGAGAACCGAGATCGACGCTGTGGCAACACTCTAATGTAGGAGGACCAGGCCTTCGGTAGGTACTCCAGGCTGGGAGTACAGGGCCCGCCTCCGCAGGGCGCTTTGCGGGGGACTTTTAAAACAAGCTTTAGGATCTACTAGGCCTGGTCTAGAACAGAGTTTAGCGTCAAACCAATGATACAATCGAGTATTAATAAGTTCAGATGAAGTCCAAACCCAACGTCAGCTCTGCACGTTTGACTCTTCTTTCAGACGTAGGGGTTCATCCGTCTTTACCGACGAGAATTCATTTTAGGTCGCTCACCACTGTTCATTGTGGCTCTCTTTTTCATGCTCACTTCCGATTCTGCAATGTTGCAGCATAGCCACTTTGCTCATCAAAATGTGAAGTCTTGTAGTCATTCGTGGCATCGTTACAAGATATGGCGTCCTAGGCGTTTCATGTTGTAATCCGGAAAGCTCCAACATTACCATCCCATTGGCAGTGTCAGCCTAACCGAATGCGACTTCTACGGCACAGGATCTAAACAGACGTCCGCAACATCTGCCTTGAGCAGTCTTTAACAGGAATGAAGCCAGTAGCAGGGCAATATTCTCTCCTCTTTCATTACATTCTCCTCAACAACAAATGCCCGGTGGAAGGAATATACATGTACCTCGTCCAAAACTTCCCCATTCCGGCATTCCCTGCCACCAAGCATAAACTTTCCAGTGGTGCGGTAGCAAATCATTCAAGTGTTTGGGATCGATAGACTCTAATGTGATGAGCTCTAGATAAGTATACCTCGGTCAGGATGACATTAGATGAGGTAGCTTGGATGAAAAGATCGAGTCTGTCTCTGTCTAGTGTTGAGCCTTGTTCACCCTGCAGCAGCTAGTCTATTGACACTCCACATCTATTTATGGACCGGTATTTCCCTCGCGGAATGTGGCTTAATAGGGCAAACTAAGGACTCGACTTACTCTCATACTTACGTTACGGAGGCACCCACATCCATACGCTCAATACCTGAGCCCCCTTTCGAAGACCTCTCTGTGTCCAAATCGAATTTCAAAGATGATATTATGATTAAGAAAACTTTATCAAGGCAGTAGCAGTGAATCACAAAGACAGATATCCGTAAGCCGGAAGCATCACGTAAAATGACCATGCTGAGCGATGGAAAAGCCTCGCGTTCTACCTTTAAATCTGTTCTTGCTAGGTATAGTAAGAAGCATATCCGGGAGTTCGAAGCATCGGAAACCAGTACGCAACAAGTTAGACGCACCTTAAAGCTCATAAGCAATATGAGGTCTGAAAGAAACAGCGCCGACTACTCTGAGCAGCGTCGATGTTTCTGCTGCATCGACTAACACCAAACACACAGGGACCTTCAGCGTAAATGTCGATGGCGCTTGTGGATTACAGAAGCTAGTGCATATGATCAAAGTAGGTGGTTGTATCAGTGTTTACTTCTGTTGGAGCTCTCATCACATTGAGCACCTTCGCGGGATTTTGGGTGAATACGGTGAACATCGATTAAACCCCTCTCGCCAATAGCAGCATCTGCCTGGTGCAGAGCACAAGATCCAATGTCAGCCTAGCGTCGCAATGGTGATATTTTCCACACAAGCCCCTGCCTGGCCCACGTTGCCGTCCAGTCAGAGTGAAGGACTCCAATATGGGAGCCTAAATTGCATGTGAGGCTGAGGCGCGAAATGCATACTGTCTGCAATCAACACGCAAGTCGCATATCTTGAACAAAGGGCAGGCCAACTATCATTATTGTTATCTCAGGTCTCAACTTGGATCCAGTCTCTGACTGCTCAAGACGACACAACTTAGTCATGTCACTCCTACACTGGATAAAGGCCCGACACAACTTACCTCTCCGTGAGAGAGCCATTCTGAAACTGTCCGGATTCAATGTCAAATGCGCAAATCCTTTACATGAGTTTCAAGATTCCCTCCGCAATCGCATTGCCCTTGAACCGCCAATTCACAGCGACGCAACTTGCGACAGGTGCGAAAAGCTACGCAACGATCCAGACGACTACAAGTTAATCTCAGGCCTTCGCTATTGGTGTCTAGACTGTGAGACAACGCAGGCAGACGTTTGTTCGACTTGCGTAGTCGTTCCCGGTCAAGGAATCGACCACGACCCCGCGCATCGACTGGTGCAAGTGCAGCCTACCGCATGCTCCGTATGCGAAGATGTCGAACGACTCGAGGTCAAGCCGGCTGACATGCACCGTGGGCCTTACAAGGAGTTCTTAGTAAAGGGCGGTACATTCAAGGAAGTCGCGGAGACTAGAAGCTGTGGATTCTGTACTTTCCTGTGGAGATTGCTGGCCCAGTCTCCCCCAGAGGGCCTCAAGTGGCCCCCTGACGATGATAAGGAAGTTCAAATTCGGATCAGGAAGCAGTGGCGGGATTGGTTGAACATCTCTGTTGTTTCTGATCTCGCGACTGAAGAAGAGTTTGAGATGCGCGGGGAAAAGTATGTCAGGAGGGGACAGAATGCCGCGGACATGGAAAAGGAGATGCTCGTGGGCCCTTCCGTCTGTAGGAAGTCCGTTTTCGCGCTGAGAGTTCAATGTGCTGACCTCTCTCTCTCACACAGCTTGGTCTCACGAGATGCCTGTTAGCGAAATCACTTCAGAGGAAGAAGATAGAAGAACTTGGCAGGTTGGAGTCTGCAAAGTGTTACCGAGCTCAGGATCCAGCGAAGCCCTTCAGCTTGCGAAATCATGGCTCGACAACTGCTGCAAGAGACATTCTAAGTGTGCAGGAACCCCACCGCATATCCTACCGTCTCGTGTCTTAGTGTTGCAAGGTCAAGATTTCTCGCGCGTTTATCTGAAAGAGACAATGGGCATTGAAGGCAGTTACGCTGCGCTGAGCTACTGTTGGGGCCCAGGCCGACCAGGCCTCATCACTATCAAAGATAACTACCGCGATCATCAGAACTTTGGCATTCCAATCAACGGCCTTCCAGAGACGATTAGAGACGCAGTTCATGCAGCAAGGACGTTGGGATTGGACTATCTGTGGGTCGATCGGCTCTGTATCGTTCAGGATTCCGTAGAGGACTGGGCTCACGAAGCGGCTCTCATGTGCGCGGTATATTCTGGAGCAACACTCACACTCAGCGCCGATGGCAGCAATTCAGCTACTCAGGGTCTCTTCCAGTCGAACCAAACTCTCTCTGCGCTCGACTACAAGACATACTACGACCCTGGAGCCGACGATCTGGTCTACATCAAGCGCCCGAGCCACGCGTCCCTGTCTGGCCGGGCATCAGACATGACCCAGCCCATTGATCAACGCGGATGGACAATGCAGGAACGTCTAATGAGCCCTCGAGTCCTGCACTTCACTAGCGAAGAAATGGTTTGGGAATGCAACACCCTCACTGAGTGCGAATGCCGCCGCGAATCCGCCATGTCAACGCGAGAACTGGCACCCAGCGGCATCACCACCCGAGAAGGGCTGTACGAGCACTGGCGACATATAGTACGCGAGTACGCCAAACGGTCTCTCGCGTACGAGACAGATAAGATGCCAGCTCTCCGAGGTCTCGTCGAGAAGTTCCAGCGCGTCATGCAGGACCTTGTCGGCAAAGACACCGACATCAAAGACGAGTACCTGGCCGGACTCTGGCGGAACGATTTGGTGGAGGGGCTCGCATGGAAGCCACCGACGCCGGGCGACTTGGAAGGGTTCCTGAAAGCCACGAACCACCGGCGAATTCTGAACATCGGCGTAGATAGAGACGTGGACAGCGAAGCCTGGGAAAAGATCCTCGCCCACCGTAACCGCCTCGAAGACTGGCACCAGTCCGGCGGGTATGTCGCTCCCACATGGAGCTGGGCGCACCTCCGCGGCCCCATGTCCTATCTCTACTGCCGCCCATTGACGCCTTTCATCCCCTACGTAAACGTCGTTGAAGCCAACGTCGTGCCCGTTAACGCCAACGAGCCGACGGGCCAGGTCTCGTCCGGATTTGTTACGCTCGAGGGCCGGCTGGTTCATGGCCTGCGGCTGAGCATCACGCAGGGCATCTATGAGGGCGGCGATGTCAGAGAGATGTGCTTTTTGAGCCTTGCTGAGCCATATGATGTCTTTATCGAGTTCGCTCCCGATGACCCTCCTGGCTTGCTGCAGAGATGGGGATCTGATCTCACCGAGGTTGTGGTGTTACTTTTGGGGACGAGGAATTTCGTTCCGGAGAAGGGAGGTTATGGAACGGTTGGTGGCTTGAGCAATCCGGTGAAGATGTCGTGGAATATGCCGGCCGAGAGGGGGATTGCTGAGGCGAGTGAGGAAGATACAGGTGTTGCGGCCGGCTCACCGGCATGCGAGCTACCGGGCGAACTAGTGGAAGCCTTTGTGGAAGACACGGAATACCCTCGCTTCACGACGTTCTTGGTCCTAAAGGAGTCGGATCTGGAGAAGGGCAAGTATGAGAGACTGGGTTGCTTTGATGTCTGGGGTAGGAATGATGTTGGTGTTGCCAAAGCGCTCTTCAGCAGCTCAGTTAATGAGACAGTTACGATCATCTAAGGCAAGCCCGAGAGGTAAATTCAGTGTCGAAAGAATGTCAAAACAATAGACACGAAATTGGCTCCAGCTACTTTGTCTCCCAGTGTCATGGACTAATCGTAACTGGACAGGGTCACAGACTGAATGGGGCGACTGTAGCAGCAGCATCGACACTCTGAGAGCATCGATTCAGAGCCGAACGTAATCAATCCACAGACAAAGACTTTTGTCGAAATCCTGTGCCACTATCATCATCCATGAGACATACTACGGCACAGTCTGTAACATCCTCGTTCTCGTTCCCGCAGTCGTAAGTAAGGTCAGCAGTAATCTCCGGTCCCGCGTAGCTGGGCGGAGGCTGTGTTAGCCGATCGTTTCGATCGGACAGACGGGGTATTGAACAAGGTCCCTTGACTCCGGGGCCGGACTCTAAGGAAATCAATCCCGCCGGGAATAGGCGTCACCGAGAACGCTAACTTTTTACAATTGGCGATGTAACGTACGAAAGCTCCAGGTCCGAAGTAAGTGCAATTTTAAAACTCATGTAAGCTGCGTTGTATTCATGCAGGCCGGCATGATGGCACGGCCAGCAAGAGTGCCTGTCTCTTTGAATCAAAAGCTAAGTCTGCCTGACCAATGACTCTCTAATGCCATGAGGATATGTTTCAACGAGCGTCGGCCCGTTTGATCGAAGTGATGCTAATATCACCCTTTTCGCCAGGGCTATTCCACACGGATTAAAGTTGAGAGGTTGGATGTCGGGCCGCCAAGTTGACTTAGAGCAACCAATCACATTTCACGGTAAGGTATGCAGCTTGAGAAAAACAAGCGTCTATTAGATCAACACATTTTCCGCTATGCCGAAGAAAAATCTCAGAAAAGGAGGTCCAATTCGTAAATTGGCCTGCAGAAACAGCGCGATTTATTCGAATTTTAGTGTGGCAGCTATCAGCGGCAAGCTTGGCTCCCAACCACTTGAAGCACTGCAAGTCGGTGAACTGCGCCTCGTTATGATAAGGCTTGGCGCATCCCACCAACCTCTGGAGAATCGAGACACACCACATCTCGGCCAGAATTTTCTACCTCGAAACGGTGAGATTAACTCCCTCTTTGCGAAGACAAGAGTTACAAAACTACGTCACACCGCAGCATTACCGGTGGCAGTGCACATTTCGCGCTGGGCAGTGCAAAAATGTCGACAGCGGGGCTTGGCAAAACCGAAAGTAAGTACCCTCGCACAGAGTCGTAAGTGCCATTTGAATGAATGAGCAGTCAGTCGAACGAATCAAGGAAGTAACAAAATCTTCAACAAGATCTTTGCAAAAGAGGCCGCCTTGGAACTATCTGGGCCATCCATCTACCCTCCTGACACAGAACATCTCCTTTTCGCCATCTCATCTTGCCACTGACTTGTTTTCCACAGTATCCACGTATTCCAACCGAATCTCCTTGTCCTCCGAGCCAGTCGCATAGACAGCAGCGGGCGAAGTATCCGCCAAGACATCCTTGACGCTCTTGCGTTCTCGCAAAGCGGTCCAGACCGTGGTATGCATGCTCCTCATGAAGAGTAGATCCATATCTTCCAGCGTGAGACCTAGTACGGGGCGCCTGCGTCAGCCACAATGACAACGACGATGGAAAAGGAGGCTGAGGATAATGGACTCTAGAAGCAATAAGAACTAGTGAATAGTAGAAACAAAATTTACCTTTGGTTTCCGGTACGAAGAAGAAAGCCCACACGCCCATCAGGATCATGAGAGCGCCGAAGAACATGTAAGTCCCATAGCCGAGCGACGTAATCATGTAAGGCGTAGTCCGTGAGACAATGAAGCTCCACAACCATTGATCTGCTGTTGTGATTGCGACGCAGAGCATGCGAATGTCTAGGCTGAATACCTCGCTGCAGTACAGCCATGTGATGCCTTGCCTGTAGGAGTGGTTAGGCTTCATTATGCCTCATTCACAGACTACCAATGAACGAGCAACAGGAGCCTCACCATGTGGCGCAGTAGATCAAGCCGTATAGATACACGCAAACCATGGCGATATACCCCCATGCATTTCGGTCGGTATTACCAGCAGCCGCCTGGCCCGCAGGATCCGCAAGAAACGTGAAGCCACCAATGTACCACATTGGAAGGGACCCAACGAAGGCGCCCCAGATGAGACCGTTGCGCCGGCCGACCTTTTCGGCGAGCCAGACGGTGAAGATGACCATGCCGAGGGTCTTGGCTATACCGTAGAAGCCCGTCGCGAAAAGCTTGGTGCTCGTGCCTGTGATGCCAAGAGTCTCAAAGATGCGAGGTGAGTCTGTTGTTTTATGTCAGTGGAAGAGAACCCGGGTCAAAAGAACAAGTTCTTTTGCTCACAGTATGTAATGATGTTGACGCCTGTCAGATTCTGGCAGGCCATCAGAAGCAGACCGATGCCGATGCGGTTGCGAGAACCTTTCTCGAACAAGCGCTTGAACATTTGGGACTTTGTCATGCAATTTGCGCTGCTGTTTTCTACCTGCCGCTTGATATCACTGATCTCGGTGCTGACATAGTCATGGTCTGCTGGTAGCTCACGGATGTGAACCAAGACTCTCTTGGCGTCTTCCCATCTATCATTCTTCGCCAGCCATCTCGGCGACTCGGGACAAATGAAGATTCCAAAGAACAAAAGGACTCCGGGAAGCAGCTGCAAGGCGAGAGGTACAATCCACTGCGTTTGTGTCGAGTCTGAGATTGTGCGATCTACCGCGTAGTTGATCCAGAAGCCGCACATCCCTCCTCCCTGTGATGCAATTTCAAAAAGACCAACGAGGCGGCCTCGGATGGACGGTGGGCTGATTTCCGAAATGTACACAGGGACAATTAGGGACGTGGCACCAATGCCCAAGCCAGCGATGGCTCTTCCGGCAATCAGGAGTCCAATCTCTCCGTGGGAAGCTGTCATGAGAGTACCGCCTACCAGAAAGACAAGAGCAGAGATCATAATTGCCCTCTTACGGCCGAGCCATTCTGCCAAGGGGAACATCAGCAGAGCGCCGAAGAAGCACCCTGCCTGAAACGTGGAGACAATGTTGCCTTGGAGAGTATCACGGACGGTTGGCGAGCTATCCGCAAGGTCGAAATCCCGGCGGAATGAATCCAGAGCCATGGTGCCACCTATGACAGAGGTGTCGTAACCCACTGGGCTGTGTTAGTCTAGATCCCGTCTCTGTTGAGCTTGGGGGCGAAGTGAAACTTACTGGCAATAGCACTCATTGAGGCAATGATTGCTATCATGTGAATGCGCCAATTGCGGACTTCACTGGGATCATTCGTCCCATCTGCGTGGAGACTGAACCCCATCTTGCTCAGTACTCACTGCTCAGCCTCGTGGCGAGAACGAGTGACCTCAGGTCAGCCCCGGACTACCAATGTCTTGGCAGGTTGAACGAAATGTTGCAAACCGCCGTCTGTGCTGGGACCACAATGGCAAGAAAGCGTGACGACAATCGAATGTAAGCTACGCGAGGAATCGCGAATGGACAGGGCAATGACTCCAGCCACGATCGATGCTCAAGACCTTGATAGCCAGGCAGATTCGTTGACTGACATGCGCAAAGGCGATAATGTCTCCTTTATGGATGAGATACGACATGGCGGTATATTTGTCTGCATGGCGTCGTTACGTTGTAGGACTTGACGGATCAATGCGACGCTAGTCTATCTCACTGAGCAGCCCTGTAGACTGGCGGAAACCCATGTTGATGATGGTGCCTCGAGCGATACACCTTTTCGAGATCAGGTGGACAAGTTGAATGCAATTCAGTCGAAGCTAGGCCATCTTGTTCAGGGGATCATGGCCAAGATTCTTTCGGTAGACGACAAGCTTCCCCGCGTTCCCCGCGTTGGGTATGCAGCGACTGGGATGGTGAACTTGACATTCTTCCGCAACCACGGTAGTTGATGCTTGAAACATTGCTAATATCGGGATGCAGAGAGATAAAAATACGTTAAACAGAAACGGGAAGTGTTCAACGCGGCGCTAGATCATATCAGTTCTGGAAAATGCTCGAGTCAAGGCGTTCGTTGGACGCTTGGGTCATTGGCGCGAAGCTGGCCAAGAGTTTTGGACTGGGCCAAACGCCTTTGGATATGGGAGGTTGTTCATGAGACCAGGATGGATATTGAAGCTTCCTGGTTGTTCTGCTGTGATGTGGTGCAAGCCATGTGGTGTGCATCGATGCAGGTTGCAGGATGACAAGTTGGATCAGACGGTGGAGACCTGGAGAATTCCACGGACATCTGGCGGTACGGATCGAAGATGTTGTAAATCCATTGGTCAACCAGCCCAGCGGATTCCCGAAGATGTTCCAGAACTCTGAAATTCCATAGAGGAAAGAGCGAGCAAAGGCAGTTGCCACCAGCTGCATGGGAAGGTAGGTGCGTGCCATCCCTACCTGCAGCTGCTTACCTGATATGGACCAATGTGGACTGCCTCCTTCGGCTTGAGCTAAGCGAACCAATGGAACCCTTGGAGCGTGCCTGCCACAGCCACTCTTGGCGCTGACTAGCGCGGTCCCCCACGACCCCGGGGACTCCACTCCGAGCTTGATTCGACTGTGACTGTGCATCGCGACCGCCCTTTTTATTTTTTCTTTCTCATTCCTTGGCTCCTCTTTTTGTCTTTTTGACATTGTCTTCACATTTTTGGTGTTCACACTCCGTGACTCCTTTTTTCTCATCTCACAAACTTTGTTTTCCTCAATCAATCTCTTCCCGTTCCCCTTCTCCACATCGTTGCTCCGGTCCTCTCCTAAACTTTCCCCATCTCCATATTTCATATCACAACTCCGTGTGGGTTGAGCCAAGAGCTTATCATCGCTAGCTTATTGTTGCTGCCCATCGACTGATTCGCCTCAAGCTTCACGTTTCAATTCTCCCTCACTGCCTTCAAACTCCACTTCGAAATGCTGACCCGGCCGCCCAGACTTGGACCAACAACTCCACCGCGGGATGATATTGATGGATCTCGTTCTCAATATCTCCTTTTGGCAGCCCCCAAGGTATCGATTCTCAAGTACTCTGTACGGATACGGAGTATGGGACAGTGGCACAGAGTCCGGATATGACTGAGACCATGGACGGACAATGTCCCGATTCATGCACCCATTCCGTCATCAAACTTTGCCAGTCCGAAACCTCTCCGACCATTCTCCACGGGCAACTATGTCCCGCTGACACCGAATGGTCATTCGCCGCTGCTGTATACCTTCGGCCCTGCATCGGTCGGTCACTCCTCGAGTCTTGCTGGTTGATGAAGCCATCGACATTTTACAACAGCAGTTTGATGGCTCTTTTTGCCAGTGCGAGAGAGAAGCGGACCTACCGGAATTCAAAGGACGAGCACCCGATTGCGTTCGTTCCCCAAGCGCTTGCGTGCGTCTGAATCCCTTGGCAGTATCAAGAGGTCGAGAGCGATACGCCATCTGGGTTACGGCCGGCCACCGATCGGACACGGGAACCAGCACGGATGCCAACGGCGTCTATCTAATGGTGGCCAACCCCGCCGGGCGGCCGAATGGCACGATACTGGACCGCACCTGTTGCGGCTTCGAAGGATGTGCACGCTACTCGAGCCTCGGGCGCAGTATCCGTATATGGCCATGTTTACTGACGTTCACGGCCAACAATACTTGCAAACCTCGGTCTCGTCTGGAAAAAGTCTGGCCAGATTGGAAACGAATACCTCGGAATACATCATAGACAAACGCGATAAGGTCCCGGCACTTGCATCAACAAAATGCCAAGGTTCAAACATTGGCATGGCCAATGTTGCCAAGAACCCATTTACACGCTGTCAGTCTCCATTCTGCCCCCTGGTTTGGTTTCCCATCTCGTTGTTGCACAGCGGTTCTAGGATGGCCCCGTCTCAAGCCGTTCTTCCACTGAACATAGCTCGCTTCTTGATGCTCCAATTTAATTCCCTCATCGGGTCCTTTTGCACTTTTCCCTCTTGCACAGCCTCAATGCCCAGACCTTGGGCGGTTACCTCCCTCTCACCCTTTGGCTCCCCTTTGCACCAGCTACTTTTGCTAATCTCACCCAAAATGAGAGATTCCCCCCCCCGGCACGTCATTCTATCTCTCCATCGGAGCACTCCTCTGGCTCCTCTCTTTTGGCTCCTTCCCCTCTTGATCACGTCGTGCAAGACTTTTTGTTCTGTGACTTGACCGCCAAGACCAGAATATGCTTCCTGCTGTGATAGTCCAGAATCAAGCGCGCCTTTTTCTCCCATCCTCTGATGCACGTATCATTTTGGCTTCTCTGTGACCAATCCATTCTTTCTCTGTGGGGTCTCGGTTGACTTCATACCCTCTTGACTTGCCAAGAAGGGCATGTCGTTGTGAACACTCGTTCTGCACTGCCACTCTCAAGTCTCGCCGGTCCAAGATTCCAGACAACATCAGCCTATACCTCTAACGCTCTTGAAAACTCTTCTTCCTCATCATCAGTCTCGTCTTGTGTAAGGACTTCTCAAGGTCAGCTCAAACATGACAGCTACTCAAGGTTGATTATCCCGCACTACTCTCTACAACTCCACACGCCATCCGACGGAAAGTAGACTATCGCCTCTCGCCCGGAACCCCTCTTCTCTGCACTGCCTCGTCTGTTGTCACCATACAGCAGGCACGCAGGCTGACTTGACGGCGTCAGTGTACACTTAGGAAACGGAAACTTTCTTCGACGGGGCTAAAGGCGCAGTTACGCCAAGGCTCACGGAGGTCTTCACTCTCAGCGTTTTGGAATTCTTGGTTCGCCTTCGAGGCTCTCTACCTGGAAGGAACGCGAAGACAGCTCCGTACGCAAGTTGCCTCCGACATAGCCTTGTTGTACAGCCTGTGTGTTTCCCTTCCGCCTTCTTAATACTGTTCAAGTCGCCGGAGGTTACACCAACTCCCGTCAACCTAGCTTCACTCTTGTTGCAAACAATTTCTCTTTTCTCTTCCTAGAACTCTCTTCTCAACATTATTCTCACTCGTTCATGAGAAAGTCATAGCATCAACTCAAGACTACTCTGCATCGGTGCTAATGGCGTCTCTCGCACCACCGCAGTTGCGCGTCGACACCCGCAATTCTCGCGGGAATGACAATGACGACGCGATAACACCGTCACCCATATCGACGCACTCAAATCCGTTTCTTACTCCGGCAATCAGCGCTGCAACAAGTATGCATTCAACCGCCTTGACAGAAGATCCAGATACAGCTCTTCACCCCGATCCCGGCACGGAAGGCGATTTCGTCGTCGATAACAATCCTTTTGCTTTTAGCCCTGGGCACCTCAACAAACTTCTCAACCCGAAATCTTTGGCAGCTTTTTTCGCGCTCGGCGGCCTGCGCGGTATCGAAAAAGGATTACAGACAAATGTCAAAGCCGGTCTATCCCAAGATGAGGTGGGCGTTGGCGGTAGAGTGAGCTTCCAGGAGGCCACCGGCCACCAGGAGCCCTCCTTCGCCACATCCGGTGCACAGCCATCAGCCACAACACACCACGTCGATGCCAATGGTTTCACTGACCGAACCCGAGTTTACGGCAAAAATGTCCTGCCTGCCAAGAAGGCGACACCCCTGTGGAAACTCATGTGGGGTGCGTACAACGACAAAGTCATCATTTTGCTTACAGTCGCCGCCGCCATCTCGCTTGCCCTTGGCCTTTACGAAACTTTTGGTGCCGAGCATGATCCCCAAGAGGGTCAGCCGGTTGACTGGGTTGAGGGAGTAGCCATTATTGCTGCTATTCTTATCGTTACCTTGGTTGGATCTTTGAATGACTGGCAGAAAGAACGAGCCTTTGTCAAGCTTAACGCCAAAAAGGAAGACCGAGAGGTCAAGGTTATCCGATCCGGCAAGTCTTACATGTTAAACGTCGCAGAGATCTTGGTCGGCGATGTCATCCACCTCGAACCCGGTGATCTCGTCCCGGTGGACGGTATCTTCATCAGCGGCCATGATTTGAAGTGCGACGAGTCCTCGGCGACGGGCGAGTCCGACGCTCTCAAGAAGACGGGCGGCGATGCCGTCTACAACGCCCTGCAATCTGGAAATGCTACCAAGGACCTCGACCCCTTTATCATCTCTGGCGCAAAGGTTCTCGAGGGTGTCGGTACCTTTGTCTGCACGTCCGTCGGCACCAACTCTAGCTTCGGAAAGATTATGATGTCGGTTCGCACCGAGATGGAGGCAACGCCTTTGCAGAAGAAGCTCGAGGGTCTCGCTATGGCTATCGCCAAGCTTGGTAGCAGCGCTGCTCTTCTCCTTTTCGTCGTACTCCTCATCCGCTTTCTGGCTGGCTTGGGCTCCAACAACAGCTCTGGTGCCGAGAAGGCTTCCACTTTCATGGATATCCTGATCGTCGCCATCACCATTATCGTTGTTGCTGTCCCCGAAGGACTTCCGCTGGCTGTCACATTGGCTTTGGCATTTGCTACCACCCGCCTGTTGAAGGAGAACAACCTGGTCCGTATTCTGAGAGCATGCGAGACGATGGGTAACGCCACGACGATTTGCTCCGACAAGACTGGTACCCTGACCACGAACAAGATGACTGTTGTTGCCGGTACTTTCGGCTCAGCCAGCTTCTCCAAGTCGGTTGAAGGCGAGAAGACGATCAGCGCTGTCGAGTTTGCTCAGTCACTTCCTACAGCTACGAAGAAGCTCATCGTCCAGTCCGTTGCAATTAACTCAACCGCTTTCGAGGGTGAGGAGGAAGGCCAAGCCACCTTCATTGGTTCCAAGACTGAGACCGCCCTGCTCCAGTTCGCAAAGGATCACCTCGGGATGCAGGGACTGGCCGAGACTCGTGCCAACGAGGAGGTTGCGCAAATGATGCCATTCGACTCCAGCAAAAAGTGCATGGGTGCCGTCATCAAGCTCTCCAGTAATGACGGGTACCGCCTTGTAGTCAAGGGTGCTTCTGAAATTCTCCTCGGATACTGCAGCCAACAGATCAACGTCAACGATCTCTCCATCTCGGCTCTGGAGCAGTCTGACCGCCTCAATCTCGAGGCGACGATTGATGCCTACGCCAAGCAGTCTCTCCGCACCATCGCCCTCATCTACCAAGACTTCCCTCAATGGCCTCCTCACGGCGTCAACGCCACCATCGAGGGACACGTCGATCTGGGAGACGTCCTCCACGACCTCGTCTTCGCCGGTGTTGTTGGTATCCAGGACCCCGTCCGCCCCGGTGTTCCCGAGGCTGTCCGCAAGGCCAAGCACGCTGGTGTTGACGTTCGCATGGTTACTGGCGATAACGCTGTCACTGCCCAGGCCATTGCCACCGAGTGCGGCATCTTCACGGAGGGCGGTCTCATCATGGAGGGCCCTGTCTTCAGGAAGCTTTCTGTCGAGCAGATGAATGAGATGCTACCACGCCTGCAAGTCCTTGCCCGCTCTTCGCCTGAGGATAAACGCGTCTTGGTCACACGTCTCAAGGCTCTCGGTGAAACCGTCGCTGTCACTGGCGATGGTACTAACGATGCGCCTGCGCTCAAGGCTGCTGATGTCGGTTTCTCTATGGGTATTTCTGGTACTGAGGTCGCCAAGGAGGCGTCATCTATCGTCTTGATGGACGATAACTTTACCTCGATTGTGACGGCCCTGAAATGGGGAAGAGCAGTGAACGACGCCGTGCAGAAGTTCCTTCAGGTTTGCCGATCCGCACAACCCTTTTCCGACCGATTGAAGCTAACATGAATGTGCCCAGTTCCAAATCACGGTTAACATCACTGCTGTTCTCCTCGCCTTCATCACTGCCGTCTCCGATCCTGACATGGAATCCGTTCTCACCGCCGTCCAGCTCTTGTGGGTCAACCTCATCATGGACACCTTCGCCGCCCTTGCGCTCGCCACGGACCCCCCGACCGAGAAGATTCTCGACCGCCTGCCGCAAGGCAAGAAGGCGCCCCTCATCACCATCAACATGTGGAAGATGATCATCGGTCAGGCAATCTTCCAGTTGACCGCTACCCTGATTCTCCACTTCGCCGGTAACGCCATCTTTGGCTACGACGCTCACAACGAAGACCAGCAGCTGGAGCTCGACTCCATGATCTTTAACACCTTTGTGTGGATGCAAATCTTCAACGAGTTCAACAACCGTCGCCTGGACAACAAGTTCAACATTTTTGAGGGCGTGCACCGCAACTACTTCTTCATCGTCATCAACTGCATCATGGTTGGCGCCCAGGTTGCTATTATCTTTGTCGGTGGCAAGGCCTTCCGCATCACACCCGGCGGCATCAGCGGCGAGCATTGGGCTGTCTCTATTGTCCTCGCTTCTGTCTCCCTTCCCATGGCCGTCCTCATCCGTCTATTCCCCGACCCCTGGTTCGAGAAGATTGCAAAGACCGTCGGCAGACCTGTTGTCATCGTCTACCGTGCTCTTGGCAGATTCTTTACTACCGTCGGTGCCGCTTTCCGTCGCAAGAAGACCACTGAGTCCGACGCCACGTCCGAGGATGCTGGTGTCTCCTCAGGCTCTGACGACGCAAAGGTTGCTGCGCCTGAGATCGTCATCTCCGCCCAGGAGGAGAACACAAACACCAGAGATGTTGAGAAGGCTCAGTGATCAACCATCGTTGTTCATGATCCACTCCTTCACGGGCACTTATATTTGCATATACTTCCATTCCTCTGTTACATGTTACTAGTTACGATACCATTTAGTGCGGCTTTTTGTTTTTGTTTCTATTTCCTTGGCACGATTCTACGACCGGATTCTGTTTTGCGCACGTATATATAACACTGGCGGCGGGTATTACAACATACGCCAAAGACCAATCTAGTCTTGTTTCACGGGGCGTTCTTGGGGCTCGGGGCACCAAAATTCACGTGTGGAATGGTTCGGCACACTGGGACGGAGGGGCAAAACCTGTCATTACGGCATTAGAGAGCGATACTTGCATTATTGGTTACGATATGATACGATAGAATATGTTCTTTGCTTCGAGATACGGGAACAGTATCCAGTGCGATGAAATCAACAGAATCTTTTCACATTGAGCAATTTCCGGTACTTTTTTGACTTCTAATTGTTAATCTAATCCCTTGTAGCTAACGCTGCTTGTATCATGGTTGCCCGCCCCACTACGAACTACTGCACGGAATATCCGTGGGCGAATCCGTCGTCGAGACCGTGAGGTTATACACACTCAAGCTCTCTGAATGAGGCTCCAACCTCGGCGTGCCCTGAGCGTCCTTAAGGACCGTAAACGCCGCGCTCCCGCTAAAAGAAAGACATCGTCAGTACCAAGATCAAGACCGTCCCCAAGACAAATGTGTCACAAAACTTACTATGCCTGAGAGCAATTTCCCCCAACATATGTAGTCTGCACCACAATCTCCGCCACGAACGTCTTATCCGTCTCCGTCTCCCCGCCCACCGTCGCCCCGCGGATCAGATGCCACCACGACTTGTTTCCGTTCGGCGGGAGCAGCGACTGCTTGACGCCGAGCATGGCCGTGGCGCCCTCAAACGTCCTCCCAGCTAGGATCATTTTGCCGGAGGCGGGCCAGAAGTTGGTGAAGGTTGTGGTGGCGGCTTTGTCTTCTGATGTACGATAGTACTCCGAGACGAAGTCGGCGAAGGCGACGTCGACGCCGGCGGAGGGCTTGTATGGCGCCATGTCGACTGCGGCGGCGAGGGTTGCTGTTAGAGGGAGGAAGGTTGAGGGCTTCATTTTTGGTGATGTGTTGTTCGCTTTGCGGTAAAGACTGGGCTTGTTGAGGGGATACGAAGTTCAAGAGTTGTGGGATTCTCGAGTGTTCGACGAATGCAGAAGCTTGTCGTCACTTTCAGGACATTTACCCAGCTCTTTAAAGACCCCGCCTTCGATCACACCAACTCCGATCTCAGACCCCTCTTGACATGGGGGTTATTTCCAAGGACTCAGGCGATCAGCTCTTGCCCATCGGCGGCACCGGTCCAGCCGGATGCTCCGAGAAAAGAAAAGGGGCGGGCGGCGCGGCGTTCTGCGGGAACGGGAGGCCCTGGGAAACCTTCATCCCATGTCTGGCAGGGTGCACCCCAGCTCGGGCCCAGCCTTTTCCCGTATATCTGGGGACGATTCCGCTGGTACCGCAGTGAAAAGACGCGGATGCTTGCTTCTCGTTCCCGCTTAATCGCCAGATGGTCGTCTATTAAGGTTTAGGACGGACCGGCCAACTTGGGCCGAAATAAGGGGCGAACCGGCCGCAAAAAGTGCAGTGTTGAGCATATTGCCCACCCAAAGAGGCTCTCGCTTTCGCCGTACATAGGAGCCTGGGCGCGCTTATGCTATCATGATTATACAATTCGATCCGTCACATTAACACTTTTGTACGAAACACCAATAGTAGACACAGCCCTGCGTTGACTAACTTACCCACCTGAACCTGTCAGTTTATGCTACTGAGACGTATCTCAGGTTTCTATAAAATCCCACCGGCCCCATCTCACGAGAGCCTCATTCTCACTCAAGCAACTTCAAGCATCACCCACTCATCCCAAAGCGCGTTCACAAAAGTCACTCTTTTTTTTCTTTCGCCAGATTGTTTGCACTTTGCAGTTCCAAGATGCAGCTCACCTTTGCTCTCCCCGCCCTCCTCGCCGCGCGCTTCGTCGCGGCGATTGACTTCACGGACTACGACCCGCAGCCCGGCGTGCAACCCGACTTCAAAGCCTTCCTCAACGCGTAAGTTGCACAACAAATCCTCCAAGATATTGATATTGCATGAGGAATTGATTATTGACGGCTGTGATGTTCAGTCTCGTGACTCCTGCAGAAGATCCCACCGCAACGACGGCGTACACCGACTTCTTCACTGCGGACGGCATGCAGACGACGCTAAGCATCCACTGCGTCGGTGCGGATGCCATTACCAAGTGCAAGCAGCGGTTCTTGCCTACCGATGGTAGCATGTCTCTTACTGTATGTGAAGCCTCCCTAGCCCATGCATTTACCCTAGGGCCATGTTCTTTCTGTTTCTACTTCTGTCTAATGCGGTTTGAACAGCACTTTCCCAACACGACGTTCATCGCGGATAACAATGCAACGGCGACTGTCTATGAGGCTCACGGACGTATTGAGAATAACTTCAAGGCGGGTAACTGCTCGCAGATTTAGTAAGTTATCAACGAGGCCCAATCGAGAGTAGTATGAGCAAAGAGACGTTTATCTGACCGGCTTGGCCTTTAGCTACAAGACGCAGTATACGGTCCTTAAGACTACCGAAGGCGTGGATGCGGCGCCGAATCTGTCTACGAAGCCTGAGCACCAGGTGTACTGGTACCATGACTACTTTGTCAACCCGACGGGAGTGCCCTCCAACATCCCTTGCGATAGCTTGAAGGCGTGATCATGAGGGGTTTCTTCATTTTGTAGCACAATAGCATAGCGTAATGTCATGTGCATGTTTGAATAAGTTAAATACATTATAAGCCACTCTGTGTGATTACTTGTAAATTGTGCGTTGCCGTTGGCAAAAGGTATATTTTAAGCTGGTTCTGCGGATACAATGAGGCTCTTCATTCGGGACTACGATCGAACTCACTTAGAACTCCCGCCTTATCAGAGTGATCTACAATTATGATGCAAGACTTACTAGGCCTCCACTCGGTCTTCACATCATACCAGATCCCCTCGAAACCTCACAGAACTGCTAGAAGATGACCGCAATGTGCTTATATACCACTGTAACGGAGCGTCGAGAATTTTCTGATTGAAAATCGCTACAAGTGAGAAACATCTCGGGTCGATCGGTCGTTTTGCATAACCATGTATCCCATGTACTTCTTAGGCTTCCCAAACTATTCCAGCGGCTTCGGATCATTGAACTCAATATCATTACTTTCATTCCGCGTCTCCGGTTCCCCTGTTTCGAGTAGCCGGGTCCTTCACAGTCCCTTGGTTTCCGTCTTCCTTCTGATTCGGAGCTTGACCCCGTTTGGCGGGAATAATGCCTCCGTGAGCCAGTAGTTCTCCGGACGCTTGCCATTGTATTCAGGCGGAAATTCTACGTCATAGTGACCCAAAACGTAGGCGATAATCATCTTCAACTCAAAGTCAATCAAGAATCGACCGGGGCACGCGTGCTTTCCGTGCCCGAAAGGCAGATACTCGGGGCTCGTGGTGACAAATGTGACCGGCGGCGCCTTCTCGTCCTTTGCGGCCGCATCCTCGCGCATGCGGGAGAAGCGGAAGGGGTCATATTTCAGCGGGTCTTCCAGCACCTCGCCATCCGTCTGAGCCGGCTGTCCGAGGAAGGAGATGAGGGTTCCCTTGGGGAGATGATAGCCGTCGGGGGTCTTGAAGCCGTCTACCAAGACTTTTCGGAAGACGGCACGTCCGCCAAAGGAATTCAGGCGCAGAGTCTCTCGGGCGACGCTATCGGCTTTTACCATCTTGCTCACTTTGGCTTTTGTCCAGTCGTTGTCACCATCGGCGTACAGTACACGATCAACCTCGTCCCTGAGGGTCGTGATGGTGTTGAACTCCGTGTCTGATCCCAAAATGTTGAGAAGCATATTGGTGGCTTGGATACTGGTTTGATGCATGGATCCGAAGTTGGCTGCGATTAGGCGGCGCGTCATCATGTCCAAATCGTTGAACTCTTCTTGGCGGTGGTCCTTGGCGTAACGGGCCATCATCTGCAGGTGATCTTGAGGCTCAATGTGGTCTGGGTCATCGCGAGCGAACTTCAAAGTCTCGAGACGCTCCTTCCAAAGCGGCTCGAACATCCTCTTGAGTCTGTTGATCTTGCCATGTATCGTAAAGTTGACAGCCCTACCTACAACAGGTCGAAGAACTCGAGGGCTTGCTCCGGAAGCGCCGGCGTTCATGATGAGCTGGTTGATAATATCGAAGTTGAGGTTGAGGTAGTCTTCGTTACGGCCTACTTTCCGTCAGCTTGATATCTCTGTGCAGCCGTCCATATGGAGGGTACCTACAAAGGCCCAGGCCTGGGCCGATGGTGAAGCGACTAGCTGCCTGCGCAACGACCATCTTCAACGACTCGAATAGGTCGATTTCCTTCCATTCCGGATTGGTCCCAAACCACTTGTCAAAGGCGGTACCGAGTTCCTCGTTCATGGCGGCGCAAATATTCTCCAGGATCGCATTCATCTCGGTCTTGACCAGGTGTCCTTGCCACGCATCCACCACATATCGGTCGTGGCCAAGAGCCCAGTGAACCTGATCGACCTCTGCAAAAGCGGTGCTGGGATCGAGCTGACTTTCCGGCTGTGTCTGAACCCATCGCATCGAGCTCGTGGGCATAATGACCTCATGGCGGAAACCGATACCTGGAATGATGACCGGCTTTCCCTTTTTGGTATACTAGGTCTAAAGTTAGCGAACGGGAGGTGATGCGAAGACCGAGATAGGATTTACGTTATCGTAGGCCTCACGGAACAGACCCTGGCAGTCGGTATAGAACCGCAAATACGTGCGGATGCTGAATCGTGTGGCCCCATCAGGTTCGCCAATGAGCGGGATGCCCTCAGGGTAAGGGATACTGAGAAATAGTCGGCTGATGATATATAGCAGGGCCACTGACCCCAGCGCGAGCAAGCCGACGCCTGACAAGCTGGCAACTGGAGGGAGAAGCTGCGATGTGGGCGCCATCTTGGTTCGCAAAGACAGACAGTGACGCTGTCGTGGTGATTGAGCAAGAGAGATGCGGGATGTCGTTCACCACATGTTGCCGGAAATATGGGCGAAACGTTTGAGCTTTAAAGGTGCCCCTAAATGCTGACAGATTCCATCCCATCTGCTGGCTAGCTAAAGTAAAACATGCTGGTAGGAGTTGTGAGCTGTAGAGTTGGAGGCGGGTGGGCCTCACAGGGAAGCCAAACAGGGATGATGGTCCTCTTAGCGCGCCCGTTTCCACGTAGTCAATGGCGGTAATTTGGATGCCTGGGCAAGCAGGGCTTCATAGGGCTGTCTCGGATCCCGTGGGAGTAATTAAGTATCTTTCGCACTTTGCTACCTCACATGACTCTGTATGTCTGATGGGCAACATGAGCCTCTCTTTGTCATCTTGCATCAATACATGCACAAAGACACGATACCTATCATGACTCCAATGTCTCCAACTGGCCGGATCCTTGGTAGCGAGAAATAAGGTTGGTTGATCTTGAGCTCTAAGAACGCTAACAGCGTACATTTCTGTATTAAACATATTCTACGACCTACTCTGTCGCCTTTGTAATTACTTCAGTAAGGACAGCAAATGCATCTTCTCTTTACACATTCGGGTCAATATCCATACTGTCTACGACTGCCCTACCCCAGCAGAGCCTGCCGAGACCTTGATCCTTAGCGCGATATCAGCTCACAGAGTTCCCACTTCACACCCTAGCGCGTGTAAGCAGCCACTCTACCGTAAAGGGAAATCCGCTTTCTCTCACTTATCATTGGGCGAAGACGATCTCTCAACGATTGGCTTGATCGGAAAAACGTCGCTTTCCAAATTGCCGGGTTATCATTGTCAAGATGTCCAGGGGTGATGCAATCTTGTGTCTGACATGCAGCTATTGGATGACGCAGCATCCTGACAGACTAAAAAATCACCATGAGGCTCAGTCTCGACCACGCGTACATCACAACCAGCAAAAGATGGACGATCTGGGAATCGAACCCAGGACCTACCGCATGCTAAGCGGTCATTATACCACTAAACCAATCGCCCAATCATGATCTAGCCCGGACTTGAACCGGAGACCTTCAGTGGAACAGGGGGAGAACTCGATGAGGAGATCTCGGACTGTTAGACTGACGTGATAACCAACTACACCACTAGACCATCTTACGATGAAGAGATTTAGGGGTGGATGGCTCCAAGAGTGGCTCCCAAGGTCCCGATGCAGAAGTTCGTGAAGTGAAGAAGATGGTTGGGTACGAGTTGTGGAGAGTTGAAGCTTAGCCCTGTCCCAGGGTTCCACAGCTTTGGGAGGTAGGCTTCATTCGAGTCTGAACAGGTTTGAAGAGGGGAAAGCTAATCAATACCTGATATGCATCCTTCAAAGTCCGATCCTACGGAGAGGACTGGTCATGCCTTAACCTGGATCATAGGCAGTGCTATGAACCTGAAATGGAATATAAGGTCAGCCTTAATCTCCGAAGCGAACATCTCTTTGTTAGCAAATGAGTAGGAAGGTACAAATTCAATCACCACAAAAATGGAAGTGCGAGGAAATGGATACATATTCTTGTGTCTGTGTGTCTCCGATTCAACGCTGTTGACAACTAAATACTAAGAGGTCAAATGGGCAATCGCCATTGCGCTGTAACTCATTTACCTTTTTCAGAAGGTTTGACGTTATTCCGCGGGTCTGGAGGGGAAAGTCTACCTGCTTTGGTTATCGATCGCTCAGTCCAAGAGGTGTTGGCTGTATTCCAACTGCAGATTGAAATGGCCTGGTTTGCAATACACTCGGTTCGCTGAGAGCGAGGCTTGTAAGTGAGGTGGGTAGTAGGAGGACACAATTTTACTGCATGGAGCTGATAAGGTCTTCTATTCTCGATCGAATCAGTTTAGTTTATGTATTTCTGAGCGGGCAATAGGACGTCATCGTTCATAATGCGAGTGATAGCTGGCATTTTAAGCGACCCAGGTTCTGCAAGACTGCGCAGGCTACAACGATCAAAGCTCAGCTTGGATCTCCCGTGAACCCTCACGGAAGAATACGGTCTACGTCAAGATCATCAGCAGGATATTATCAGCCCAACGGTACCCGGATAGGAAGTAATTGTCAGCCATGCAGGTTGGAAAATAGAGAAACTTCTAGACGTGTTATATTCAAGGAATGGTATCACAGTATGAAGCTTAAGATGTGCTCTTCGGAATGCTTATCAAATGATTGAAACATACAGTGCAAGCTGTCGCATGTAAAATGAAGCCACCTCCCAAAATGCTTTTAAAATCAACGCTGGTTTTGAATCATCCCCATCTCTTTCCATTTCGGATCTCCTAGGGCATCTCAACTGCTCTCTGAACTGTTTTGTCTCGCAGAATCGATGTCTACTTGAGTATTGACGTGCTGTAGTTCGTGAACATCCTGCATTGGTGACGGTCAGTACTAGTCATTGAGTCAAAGTAAGCAGTACCTTTGCTTACAATATTTTATGTTTTAAGCTCAGCGCTTGGTGCTTTGTCCTTGATGGTGATCTTGAGCTCCAACTGATCCTTCACTGAGTGGCTCGTAACCGAAATATCGACATCCATTGAGCTCGGAAACGTATATGAATCCGACGGGTCATCTGACGGAAAGAACCAGTCCTTGATTGTCTTGCCGTCGTTGTACTTCACTTTCCAGTGGGACCGAATAGGCTTGAAGAAGCCGCGCTCGGGAGACTCAATGCCAATACAGAAAGATGTAAGGGCTTCCAGCTCTTGCCAGCAGAGCATCACGTCGTCGAACCCGCTCTTGCCAAAGTAACACCCCTTTGTCCACGACATGAGCGATTCTCCATCTTTAGGCGCCAGGGTGACCTGACTGATGTCCTGGATCATCCGGACATCGGGAGACGTTGGTACATTGTGCTGCGTGAGCTCGAAGCTCTTTGACGCCAAGTTGGTAAATGTGAGGGAATGATCAGGACTAATCATTCTGACGTTTGGGTTGTACATCCTGAGACCTCCGCGCGAAAGGCGCGCGCTCAGTTGCTATGTATTGGGTATATATATCTGTGAGGCTGCAAGGATGCGATGGTCGCGGCGTCGTCGGGGGATCTCGCCGAGCTTGGCACAAACTCAGTAATGTGGTGGAAATCCGGATGAAGATGAAAATGGGCGTCGACAGGGGGGCACATTCCACTCATAAGGCAAAGACATATAAGAAGTGGCTTCCGCAAAAACGCCAGGAAATCTGGCTGCTATCAATGGTTGACAAATTCCTGGGGCAAAGCGCTGCTTCCGGTAAGGAACGATACTTGGCTGGCTTACGGTGACGCTCTCGTGGCTTGCCATTGCATTGTCATTGTTGAATGAATTAGGAATGGTTCATGAATATGGTGGGACGGCTGGAAGTGGCAACGACTATGACCAATTTTTGTTTGAAATGTTTCCGTTTGCGGAACGGTTGGGTTCGTTATCATACCGATCTAGAGTCGACTCTGAGTTACGCCGGGCCGGAATGCAGAAGTCTCAAGTCATTCACATCATCTCGGCCGATCAGTAATTTTGCGTCTTCCGCTTAATCGCACCATCACTGGGTTGATTAGCATCGATCTCTTGGTCTATCTCAAGTCCATGGGAAGGTTCTTCACAGCTGCATGGAGAGATACTGTCAGGGAACCACTGTTGATGGCCGAGTATTTCCTCTTTTTTAGGTCTCCTACCGATTCTGCCGTTTTCCGAACAAAGATGTGAAATGTTGGGGGACTGGCTGCGTGCCTCGGTTAGTGCGCATTCCCCGGATTCATTGTTGCGCGAGCCAATACCTACTACCAAGACGTGGAAGGATCTCGACCGTTGACTGAAGTCGGGTATCCAAGTGAGACAAAGCTGGGGCCCAAAATTGTCTAGTCTTCGCGTTGCAAACCTCCGTCGAGCACACTGGCAACTGCTTTTGTATCTTATCGTTTTACGCAAATGATTGTTTAAGTATCTGAGGTCAAATGTGCTATTACTCCTTATGGACTTCAGATGCGGTCTTCTTCAAAGGTGTTTGGCCTAGGCTTGTATGAAATATGTGGCATTAATTATTCGCTGTGTTGGAGAGCTAAATTCATCACGCTTCCAAGCAAGTCCCAAGCTCAGCCAATAAGTCCTCAGCCAAGACATCAATGGCGCCGGTCCTCTCATCTTCAATGCCGAATGAGAGGAACAAAACATCGTCCAAGAAACCGTGGTACCTCTGGTCTTGCCTCTTCCAGCTCATGGAGGTTACGTAAAACATGTCGGACCCTCCACCAAGTTTCTCCTCACGTCCGTGTATCCATATCGGTCTCTTTGACATGGCGAATATCTCGAATGGGGCCTTTTGTCGGAACACCATGACATACGGTTCGTACTCGCTATGGAACTGATAGAAGGTTTTGTGCTGGAACACCGTAAAGACAAAAGTGTTTTCACTGGTGGCTCTGCAAGTCGGGTCGCTGCGCTTGCAAAATGTGATGCGCAGCGAATTCGTGGCCTGGTGTATCGATTCGAGATCCGGCGGCAGCTTCGGCATGTACTTGCTCATACAAGCCTCGTCTCCGGCAGCCAACGGCGCAAGGTCCGGACCTACGGAGCCGTCCGCGTTCAACTTCGCAAAGACTCGCTTCGGCGCCACGTCATGGTGGACGTAAACTGCGCCCTCTTCGTCCCAGAACGGAAACCAGTTCTTCTCCATCATGCCCCAAGGCGCAGGACGCTGGAGCTCCGTTCCAAGACCAAAACCTTGATCCAACGACGTCTCGAAGCCCCAGTCTCCGAGCGTTCGGAAGTCCTGCATGAACTGTCCGAAGCAGGCGAATATTGAGTTGGAGCCGTAAACGATAAACGGTGCTTTGGGTCCGTACAAGACCCGCGCATCGTGGGGCCCAACGTTCATGGCGATGTAGGCCAGTTTCGGTGGGCACTTGTCATCACCACTCTTCGTGGCTGCGATGGGTAGAACCGTGGGCTCATCGACGCAGACAAGACCTTCCAGCGTGAAGGTGGCATTGCAAGTGATTTCCACATGCTCAGAGTTGTCGTGATTTATTTTCCGCCTTTGCGCCACAATGACATATGTATTTTCAATGGTGGGATGCGGAATGATATTAGGGTTGATTGCACCTTCGTCGTCGAATCGTATGGCGAAGAACTTCTTGTTAAAAGTCGACGTCGAGAATATCTCATGATGTGTTTGCTTTGATGCGGGCGGATGATCAGGCACGCCATCTACGGGCTGTACCTCCGTCGGCAGGTCCGAGGGCGCCGGCCGCGAGTGCGGTTTGAGTTCATCGCCTTGTCTCCAATTCGGTGCAAAGATGTGATCGAACCAAGAATTGAATCCCGAAGCGGAGTCTCTGAAGTCGAGACATCGTATACCGACATAAACGAGAAATAAGAAGGGGCCTACGATGAGGATGACGCGCTTGAAGTCTCTAGCTATCATCGCGAGGTGGGAGGACTGTCTGCATGCGCCGAGGTGTCGAGGGACAAGCGACTGGGACGGGCGGCACGTCGAACGTGGGGTCAGAGCATGCAGAGTCAAGTGATCCAGCTAGTCCTATAGACAGATAACCTTGCGGTGAATGCGTAGGTAGGCACTTGGGGTGCTCAATTCCGATAGTCAGGTTACGTGAAAGAGCGGTGTTGTGCGAAATTTCTCCACACATGTGCTGGCCGAGCTCCAGGATGATGGATCACGATTGCATCACAAACAAGAGCTCCAAGGGATGTGGGGGACCTAGGATGCAAGGCTGTCGAAGTGAAGCTAAGAGGAAAAACACGGGGAAGTATTCGGGAGATGTATGCCGTGTGATGGGGATCGACAGACGAGCAAGTGAATACTACCATGGGAGTTGGAGCTTTCGACTTCCCCTCACTTACAATTTGAGAAGCGCGGCCAACTATTGCTCGTCAACCCCAGCCACCCGCATTATTAGTGCGAAGGGTCAGGTAAACTGGGATGTATGCACGAAGCTTAGTGATGGAGTGTTCCTCAGATCAACTCTCAAGTTTGATCAACGATTAGCTCCTCAAGCAGATTGGTGAATGGTAAAGCATAATCTCGCTACTTCAAGCATGTGAGCATGTGAGTTGCCTCGGTGAGCTGCGCGAACCCCTGGCCTGAGTTGCAATCCTATTCCCCTCATGAGCTCCCACACCACTTCCATTTGGGGGAAAGCATCCGCTCTTGCAGCGTCATTGGGTGTGACACAGCTGCAAGTCGATAGGAAAAGAAGACACACGAGAAATTGAGGTTCGGGCGGGAAGGGCAAACCCCAACTTCGCCTACTGCAGGCTGAGTCAACTAGACAGCGCGTGGCGGACTCAGTCCCGTCGACACCGTTGGCTCAGCCTAGCGGCCCGGGTGGCAAGTCTATCGTCGCTGCATACTGGACGCGCTCTAGGGTTCAACTAAAAAAGGCTCAGGTCCATGGCTCTGGATAGTACCCAATCCGATTGCAGCGTCACAATGAGCACCTGGTTTGTCTGAGCGTCTTGGTCTAGTCTTGCGCGGTGGAACAGTGTTGTTGATTGATCAATTACAAGTGGTTTACACCAATCATTACTTCGTGCTAGAAGCCGTAAATGTCTCGGCAGTCCCGAAATACATGTGCCCGAACGCCAAACTCCCCTCAGCCTAGGTATCTCAAGCCTTTGCTGGCGCTGTTGGCAGTGTTTTCCTGTAGAGCCATTGAGCAATTCTCACACTAGGCTCGTCAATGAACCTCGTGACAACCTCAGCGATCCAAAGAGTGACCGGCAGAAGTATCACATGAGGAATAAGGAAGGCCGGTTCCAAGCCGAGGGGCCCAATTTTGGGTAACGGAAACCTGTCGACCAGGTGCGCGAGATGTTGTCGTTCTGTCTCTTTGTGATACCCAACGGCTGTGTAGAGTCGATCGCCCAGAGTCCCCAGGACTGGTCCGTGGACCAAGTAGAGCGCAAAGGAGATTCGCCCTAGATACTGACAGAAGCGAGTCTCGAAGAATCTCTTAAGCCACCAGATTCGGGGGACCGCAGATACCAGCATTGCGGCTGCCCAGAAAAGGTAAAACCACTTGTAGTCGAAGACGGCTTGAGGCTTGAGAAAAGATAAATAGTACCACCCGCGGTTGTCTCGCATCTTCATGACGTCTCCGGTGTAAGACGGGACACCGCCGAGATACATTGAGACGGCGAAGAGGTGGTAGTAAATGAATATTTTGGCGGGTTCCAGCCTCTTGAAGAAGTTGGGGAGGTCGTTTTTCTTCGCTAGAAGGTCGAGATCGCAGAGCATCATGCCCATGACGAACATGGCTCCGTACCATCCATCGGCAATGTACATGAAGTAAAAAGCCAGACCAGCCTCGCACCAGAGTCGAGCGTTTCTGGTGCACCTGGAAAATGCGAGCAGCGACGTGTAGACGATGACTGAGCCCTTCATCTCGACAGGGATGGACCAAAGGTGCGGATTCCAACTGAAGAAAGGACCGCCTCCGGTGGTGAAGACGAAGCTAAAGTTCTTCAGCTCGCAATAATAGAGCCAGACGTCATCTCTCCAAGTTGGCGCACGTTCGATATTGTCGACCCAGATATTGAACATGTGGAGGAATGTCATGTAAGAGAAAGTTGTTGCCGCCAATGGGAGATAAAGTCTCAGCCATCGCCTGAATAACGCCGAGCCGACATTCTCTGCGAATTTTCCGTGGTCTCCGGACTGGATCAAGCTCAGAGGTTTAGCTGAGAGAACATAGCCGGATATGACGAAGAAGACTGATACTGAGAAGTGGCCTCCAGTGAATAAGTGGCGGATGCCGGGAAAGGCAATGAAGTGATATTTATTTTCGTATCCAAAGGCGTTTTCAAAGATTCTGTTTTGAACGTGAGGTTCATGAGCCCATAGTTGATTGTGGTGCCAGTACACCAAGAAGGCAGCGAAACCTCGTAGGCCGTCGAGGTATGCTGTGGGCCGCAGCTTCTCTGGATTCTTGGTGTCTTTGATGGGCCAGAAGAAGGTGCTCAGGCTGGAGATATTCAGTCGAGATGGCCGCCTGATTCGTACGAGGGAAGCAGGCTTCCAGTCGCTTTCATCTGCGAGCCATTTGGACTTGTCGCACCAGGTAGGCTTAACTTCATCCCACTCGTGGCTGTCGAGAATGCCTTCGTTTCGTGGAGGCATCTTTAGGCTGTTGAAGACTTGCTGAAGACAATGAATCGTGTAAGAAGGAGTCTTTTCAGCCTCAAGCTGACACTTGATGCGTGCTTACGGTCGAGGACGGCCGCCGGGTGTCCTCGCTTGCGTGATGCTGCAGGACGAGGTGTTCTCGACCCTTGCCTCTCCGGAAATTTTGATGATTTGGGAAAAGAGGCACGGGTTCTTTTCAGTATCAACGAATCCTGCACGGGCTCGTCGGCAGTCGTCAGCCAGGAGGTTGCTCCTCGAGTCCTTGGGCGGGTGTAGTCCGGCTTGGCGTTGATCGACTGAACCTTGCGTTGCTTTCTCCGCGCAAAGTTAAAAGCCCATAGACTTAGTTCGTGTCAACAAGTCGTTCATCCAGAGTTTCACAAGCCAGGAAAAGAGGCACAACCAGCTGAACCTGACGAAGATTCCTCGGTCGAGCCAAGACAGCATGCGGGGTGGCGCTGTAAGTCTAGGATCAGAGGTCCACAATCCTTCCGGGGGTTCCTGGTTCGATATGCGGGGGATAGACCGGGGTAGAATGCGGAGAGCCAGGCTAAGACTCCAAAGTCCAACAACGAAATGATCAAAGTTAAGCGGCGTAGGAGCGATATCACTCATCTCCCTCATCGTGACGCATCTCCTCCTTCGTTGGTTGCAATCAAACCGGGCGTCCCTGGCAGCCATCACAAGCGGCGTAGCATTTAGTCGGCCTAGCTTGGGATTATCATCCGACACACAAACCGCTCCTCCGACTCGAGCTCTCGGCCGGTTGAGCAATCGAGATTGCAAGAATCCCCTCGTGAAATTTTTATTATCCACCTGCAAGCCCACCTGATTTGGAAGGTTCCACCGCCTCTGCCTCCCCTGACTATCAGAGCCGTTGATGCCGGTGGCCAGGATCGGCCCAATGGACGCTCGAACAAGCTCAACGTCCCGGCGCTATTATGGCGCAAAATGCCACCAGCTGCAATGAGTGGTCCTCATCACATCCCCGCTGGCCTGAATGGCTTCGATCCTCCAGCTGTCTGACTCTTTGTAGTGCAAGGTGGTGACTTGCTCGCCGCTATCCGGCCGCACAGATGAGAATAGGAACCGTTGAGCTCATGTTCCAGCCTTGCTCGTATTGAAGGACAGTGAGGGCAGCCACTCACGCCCACGGAAGGTCCCAAACTTAATTAGATAACAGAGGCAAGGCAGTGGCGTCAGTAAGGCACAGACGGGATGAACACGATGCGACTTTACTTTTTGTGACCTCGGCGTTTTCCCTTCTTTACCCTGGCACCCGGCTCGTGACAATGATGTGCAACTGATAGGCGAGGAGGGTGGGGGAATTGGCCGGAACAACTGTAGGGAAATCCCCGCCTCGGCGATGAGGATACTCTGGGGTTGTGTGCCTGCATGGAGAAAGCTCCTCAAATTTCGACATGCATCCCACTCGTCTTTGCTTGTTCTTATGCTCGTCGCATCTTTGCCAAAGCTTGGTTCAAAAGCTTCTTCGGTCGAACACCTCCACTTCTCTTGGACGACTTCGGACAACATGTCTTCACCCATCATGAGTCCATTGAGTCCATTGAGCCCTACGGGCTCGACCAAGGCAAACTTGTTCAGAAACAGAGTCCCGACACAACTCAGGAGATGTCTACCCTTGTACATCGCTTGTGTCTGCATAATTCTACTCGTTCTCAACATCGACTTGTTCGGGTCTATGCCCAAACCTGTCCACCTCTCCAAGCGCGGTGGTCGTCACGCAACAGCAAGCACCCGTGGATTCCCCAAGAAGATATGGCAGAGTTGGAAGGTTGCGCCCTTCTCATTCGAAGCCGAGCAGATTCTCACTGCGCGGACTTGGACGGACAAGAACCCTGGGTACCGGTATGAAGTCCTCACCGACAACAACGACATGGAGTACGTCGAAGAACACTACGGCCCTGACGGATTCGATCGCCCGGATATCGTCGACATGTATCGCAACGTGAATGCCACCATCATCAAGGCTGACTTGCTCCGCTACATGATCATGTATGCCGAGGGAGGAGTGTACGCAGATATTGATGTCGAGGATCTCCGACCTGTGAGCCGATGGATCCCGGAAAGATACAAGGAGGCCGATCTCGATCTTGTCATTGGTGTCGAGATTGACCAACCGAACTTCAAGGACCATCCCATTCTCGGCAAGAAGTCCATGTCTTTCTGTCAATGGACATTCATGTCGCGACCTGGCCACCCGGTCATGCTGAAGCTCGTTGAGAATATCATGGCATGGCTCACTGAGGTCTCCAAGAACCAGCGTGTGCCCATCTCAGCAATCAAGCTTGACTTTGACGAAGTCATCAGCGGTACTGGTCCCTCGGCCTTCACCAAAGCCGTCCTAGAAGTTATGAGCGCGCGTTCTCGATCCGGGCCGGTTACCTGGGACACGTTCCACGACATTGACGAGTCGAAAGTTGTCAGCAACATCCTCGTTCGGGACGTCGAGTCCTTTGCCGCCGGACAGGGGCATTCCGACTCCGGTAACCACAACTCCAGGGGCGCTCTCGTCAAGCACCACTACCACGCCTCCAACTGGCCGAGTCGTCACCCCCGCTTCAGGCATCCTATCTTCGGCGAGGTGGAGAGATGTAACTGGAACATTGAGTGTGTTATTAAGTGGGATCAGGACATTGCCGCCTTCAACTCTCTCTCCCCCGAGGAACAAAAGCAAAAAGTCGAGGAGCATGAGAACCTCCAGAAACTTCAGGCACAACAAAATCAGCAAAAGTTGGAACAACAAAAGGCCGCTGAGCAAAAGGTTGCTGAGCAGCCTTTGATGTTCCCGCCGCCTCAACAGCCTCTTCAAATACCTCCTGTAGATCCTGCGCAACAAGAGGAGCTGAAGATGGTATGAAGGGGCTCAGTTTATAGACCCGAAAGTCTGCAAACTATCCTCACGGCGCCGTCGCCTCGACGGCTACGATCGCCGCGTCGTTGGCAAGAATGATGACGCGCAAGATCGATTCGCGCGCCCGAAAAGCAATGCGACAAACACGAAGCATTACGAGTCAAGAGCGCGAGATATGTTTATGAGCTTGAATTTTCCCCGGCAGCCAGCCGGAAGAGCTGCGCGGGATATGGTACATGACGTGCGTAATTGAGTGGCAGTTGCCTGATGATCCTCTTGTGTCGGATTGAGCATTTGGCCTCAACCAGGGCGCTAGGGCTGAGGACATCATGACCACTCGCATGATTAGACACATAAATAGCCGAGAGCGACATACACAAGACTAGGAACGAAGATACCCTTCAAAACCCCTGTACATACTTTGGTAGCGCATTTTCATTACCGGCGGCATCTTTACACAATGCTATACGCTCTGACTTGGTTCAAATCAATGCTCCATGAGTTCAAAATTCCTCAAGCCACATAGTGCTCTGCTTTGTATTGCTCTAGGTTGACAACGCTTTTTAGTCGGTGGTTAGTCACAGTTGTAGAAGCGTGTCTCAAAAAAAGAAGATTCTGAGTTCATATTCTCACGATATATACAATGAAGTTAATGCTATGTGCTTCCAAGCCCTCCCGTACCTCGATCCGGACTTGAACCCAAATTCGGGACGAATTATGTACAAATTCCAGCTTCCATGACTTCAAAGCCTTCTCATGCCTTGACTACCTTCTTGAACCTCTACTTTAATTCTCTAAAAGGTAAGCTTCTGGCCAGCCTGTCCAGGGACGGTAGCAACGACATTGGCGGAGCCGAGCAGGCTGTAGGAGTAAGGGGGAGAGTTGGCGTTCATGGTACCGACGGGGGCCAGGTTGGAAGCACCACCAAGATCGTTGTCAATGGCAACAGCATATCCAACGATGTCGGAGTCCTGAGAGGTGATGGGAACAGTGACATTCTTGAAGACGTTGCTCTGGATCAGAACCTGGGCGTTTTGGCGAGTATTAATTCCAGAGTTGCCGCTATACACGAGGAGTTAGTCATGTTGATTCTTGTCTTCGGAGGAATGATGTAAACGTTAAACATTGACGAGGTACTTACTTGAGGTAGTAGGAGTTGTAGACGTGGCCAGTGCCAAAGCGCAGAGACGGGCCGCGAGAACCGAAGTTTGCCCAGTAGTTGTTGGCGTAGGTGATGCGCAAGTGACCGCTGTCCTCTGCGCCGTTGTTCTCGCTGTGACCGACTAAGGAAGTCTTCCAGTGGTCGTGGAAGTATGTGCTGATGAAAATTAGCGAGTATCCGGAATTCCTGCTGGGTTGGAAACCTACTAAGAAATGGTCATGTAGTCGGCAGCGTGGGAAGCATCCACGAGACCGTCATAGTAGTCCTTGTCAGAGACGAGGGCCGAAGAGAACTCGCAGTGGTCGATCCACACGTTGATGCTTTCCTAATGAGAGAAGATCCGTCAGTTTGATTGCACGCAAGCATGGCACATCTGAGAAACTGGCTGACCTCAATTTTGACGCCATCACCAGTTGAGGCAAGGACATTGGTGGACTTGATGTTGCGAATAATTACGTTGGACATGCGGCGGACGTGCAGTCCAATGCCGTTGAATCCTGTACGAAGAGAAGATAAGCCGGTGTGCGAAAAACGTGAAGGGCGAATAGTCCTCACCTGCACCAGCAGATGCACCAATGACGGATTTGTTGCTACCGATGCGGACGTTGGCAGTTCCGCTGATGGTGCCCTTGACAACCACGATTCTTGCGGCGGTATCCTTCTCGTTGACAGCGGCAGTGAACTCGGCAAGGGTAGAGACGGTGGTGACCGTACCACCGGATCCTCCCGAAGTTCTACAACATCATTAGCTCGGCTAAGTTTCAAGATCCCTCGCTATTAAACTTACCCGCCGTTCAGAGTGGCATAACCGAGAGTCGCCTTGTCTGAGATGGAGGCTCGCTTCACGAGGTGGGCCTTCTCCGCAGCGTAGTCGACGGTAGGGGTCGGAGTCGCAGCCGCAAGGGCGAAAAGCGTAGCCAAGGCGGAGGTGATCTTCATCTTACAAATTTGTGTGCAACTATGATGATTGGAAGGGTATCAGGGGGAGTTTTAGGGTCTGCCAAGAGATATTAAGGTCGAGGGTAAAGGGTGCCGAGCAATCCAAAACCCAGAAACTATGTTTCATTACCATCTCTTTATACAAGATCTTCAAGCTCTCGATCGGATGCTTTTCCGTCAACGCAACAGGGATACTATGATCACGAGATGGTGCTAGGTCTCCACGGGTTGCGAAACACACTCACGAAATGCAGGCATAGCTTCAGGCAAGCCCTCGACACCTGAGATTCGAGGTAAGAGAAGGTAACATTGATGGACGGATCGGAAAACATGATCATTCCGCGAATGGCATCGTGCTCCTGGTATGGAGCTTATCGAACCCTCGAGCTGATCTTCCGCTGGCTTTCCAGCTGTCGTAGAGAGACCCCTGTTCCGTAGGCAAATTGCGAACCAGAAGTAGTGAGATTGCCCACGCTAACGCCATCGAACCCAGGCGAATCACATAGGAGGAGACACCATCCAAAACAAGCTTGTTTACTAAGTTGAAGCTTTCCGTCCGCTAATGACTTCTTTATTCGGTGGGGAAACGTCTTGTGTCATGTAAAGTTGAGTCCTTGACTGCAGGACGGGGGGTGGGTGTCCGGGGTAAACATTGGGGAAATTTCCTCAAATCAGCATTTCGCCTTGGCTCAGTGTGCAGGTACCGGCAGCATCCGGGAATCAGACACTTACCGCCGAATTCATGGCATCTCATAGAGGAAACAAAGTGTGTGATTGGCGATTGCCATGTGTTCGTGCAAGGGCGGCAGTTTGAAGACGCGTCCTTGCAGCTGAGGCCATTGTTTGGACGGAATTGACAAGAGGGAGTTTTTCCTGTGGTGGGAAGAGGTCTGCGAGTGAATAGGATGGAAAGGAGGAATATCGCGAAATTTGAAGGACCGTTATGCGGTTGTGTGTAAAGATTCTACATTCTTCAACTTTGTGCCTTCCGCATGGGTCTGCCCTTAAAAGTAGTATGAAATATTTCATTGCCAAGTAACAGTCGTTGCACAATGAAGCGTAAGGCATGTTCGTACCTCACTAATCACGACGGGTATTTAGTACGTAGTTTGGAAGACGTTCCCCTTACAAGAAGGTCGCATCAGTCTTGTGAGCATATGCGGCTAACCTTGCACTTTCGCGTCCGCGCAGGTATGATGCCGGCCATCCGAACACGAGGAGCAGTTTTATTCGGGTACAGATTGCCGAAATATCTCGGCTTCCAACCGTCTGGAACTAAGATTTCAGAAGGAATAAGATCGACAACACTTCAAGAGCCCCATCTAACTACCGAATTATCGGCCAGAGTCCTTGCAGTCTGCGAGATGAACGACGTCGAAATTGACGGAACCTGACATATCTTGGCATCGCCAAGACAGTCTTGGCACGAAGGTCGATAGCCGGATGATGAAGCGAGCTGTTGCTGCTGCCGAACAACGTCTAGGGTGCGTTGACATCTACCAGAATTCAGAGATAAATGACACACGTAAAGCTTTCCAATGTCAAGGTTTCATTGACCATACTCCAAAAGTTTTGGGTTTTCTGCAAAAGCTAGCAGTTGTGGAGACTAATCAATACTACTTCAGACCTAAGCGGCCTCCGAAGGCTTTTATTCGTGGAGAGACTTTATACATATTGAACATCTGCTTCCGAACATATTCTAGCCAGAGGTGCAATCTCAAAGACACCGTGTATTGATGCCTATGAAGGGTAAACTACCTTATCTGACTTGAGAAATAGATGTCTTCAAGTAGATCTATTTCAGGTGAGGAGCGTTGTAGCGGTGCGTAGTTCGACTCCACAACTCATTGCCACTCATCTGAAGTTCAATTCCCTCCATATAAGTCTTCAAAGCATCTGAGCAGCCCTCCTGAAGCTTCTGCTGGACAATGACATCGTGCTGTCTCTCCCACTCTCGAATCATAACCCAGCAAATTCGCTTCGCGCCATCGTAATCGAGGCCACTCTCGTCAGCCAGAGTTTGTACAATGTTGCTGACGATGGAGCCCTCAGCCGCGATGTCTTTGGAAGCTCGAAGTTCCTTATCCCAGCTCATGACATCGTTAATGACAGAGATGTGGTGCGTGTAGTTGAGTTCCAAATCAGCAACTGAGGCCAGTTCTTCTTCGCTGAGGTAAGTTGCGTCCTGGAAGCGCTGAGTAGCTAGAAGCACGCTAGAGAAGGTCAGATGATCGATGCTCGAAATTTACCATCATGAGACTTACGCAGAAGCGACGTCAAGCTCTCGATATTTGAGATATTCTGCCACACTCTTCTTCGCCAGACGATCCTTGTCATTTTGAGACCGCCAAAAGGCGAAAGTGGGCTCTTCAATGTCATCTGAGAGCTTCTTGTCGATGGATCTCATATCTTCCCAGAGTTTCAAGACCATCTTCTCAATCGGCGAATCTTGGGCAGGCGCCGTCTCACCCTTGACGATAGAGATCAACCGCTCGTTGTACGACGAGCCTTCCTTCAGAGAAAGATGCTCTAGTAAGTCTAAATATTTAAAAGGCTCAGACCATACTCTTGACTTGGGAACAAAGGAGTTCCACTTACCATCAATGAGGAAGAGCATGACCATGAAGCGGCAAGCTGCACCGACCCGGTCCTCGCGGGCCGTCGGGTACTGGCACAAGTGCCAAGTTGGCAGACCTTCAGCAACAAACTGGAGCTTGGTTCGCTCGTCAGGGAAAGGCCAGTTGTTGAGGAAGTAGTTGTTGACCTCCATGGTGATCCTCAACCCAGACGGGTGAAGCCGACCCACCATGTGGGAACGCGGAGGGTCGCTATTCTTGAGTCTAGCCTTTGGAGTCTCTGAGATGGCCATATCAAGTCTGGAAGGCATTGGAAGATGGGCTGTAAGGTGTAGAAGCTTGAGGAGATATTTTACAGTGAGTGTTTTTTGCGATGGCTCAACACGATCTTTTTCCAAATATCGCAGGAAAATCTGGCCCTTTTATGTGAAAAGACACTCATGTCAATCTTTCCCTTGAATGAGACTCAGGAGATCTAGCCGTATCATCTTCTCCGGACTTCTGAGGCTCAATTCCCGAAGGGTCAGGACAAAGCCGGTCACATCAGGCTGCCTACCCGACCGTCGAGGGACGAGGATCCGGAAATGCACCTTCAATCTCACATCCTGTGTCGAGGTCTCGGCGATGTTCCATCATGCAAGGGCCTTATTGAATTTAGACAGGAGCCACCGACGAAGCAACCTTCGTGTTTGTTGCGATAGTAGTTGGTCTTAGAAACCCTCCCGGTCATCGCGTCGCCCAATAACGGTCCTTCCCGGTGAATATGACAGCTTGGCTAGTTTCTTCAGCTAACGAACAACGGATCTTTACAAGGATCGTGACGCCACAGGGACTGACTTGTTGTTGGGGTAGCAAGCACACATTTCGCCTCCGGAATTAGATGGATTTATCCAGGCTGGGAGGGAGATATGTCGCACGTTGATAGCGCGCACTGGGGCGACGCCAAAGGCACACCGCAGAAGCTGAAAGATGATGGGGCCGGAGATACATACGTACGCTCTTGGCTTTAGATAGTGCTGTTGATTCGTCCCTTTGACTCCATCATCTCCATGTTGGTTGCCAATGTTTGCTCATTGTCTCAAGCAAACTTCATGGTACAGTGCACCAACATGAACGTGCTGCTTAAGCGCAAACACGGTGCCCATACTATGGACCAATCACGAATGCTCCTCATGGTTTACTTACTCTCAGGGTCTCAGACTCTCGAATAACCATCCATTCGGAGTTTCGGGATTATGGAAATCTTCTGCATGGCTCACCATCGGGAGTGGCGACATTGGCACTAAAGGATGGTTGGTTTCCTGTCAACCAAGATAGATGGTGGGCATCTTACGCCTGCATAGACTATTCTTCCATGAGCCGCATAGCCTTGCCAATATGCAATATGGACCATAGCAATCGTTGAGCGCAACCGGATGATCAAACCGCGTCGACACAAGGGAAGTAGCTATCCCAAGAAAATCCCCAATGGCACGACTCGAGCAGACAATTTCACATGTTTGTTGTGTGCTTGGTCCCGCCAAGCGTCTGGTGGATCTGTCAGGTGTTGGTGCTGGATGACGCATCATTTGTTGTGGCAGGGATCAAGATCCGACTATCTGGATCCATCATCCAAGCACCCCGGACATGGATGAAATCCGGTTGGGATGGTTGAGTATCTGCGGGTCGAGACTTTTTCCTCGTGGAGGGGAATCTAGCTCTGAAAAGAGATGCAATTGGACTTAAATGGGGGATTGAGGGACTTGGAATGAATCTTCCCCAGGTGGCGACCGGCGGCGGGGGACCTCTGTGGTTGACATCTTCTGAGCTTCTAGCTTGTGAAAGCTGAACTATCAAAAATAAGGTTTGTGACCCTCGAAGGATAAGTAGAACGTGCTGCCTCAAAGTTGCATTGAACTATGGTGGTTGAATGGAGTTGCTTATTGCGCCCGCTTGGCAATGTCAACGAAACTCTTCTGCGAGAAGGTAGCTTGGTTCATCACGAAACATCAGCGGAAACTAACATGTCCAATCTCACAAGCGCCCTAATCATCAATTGCCATCCCATGCTTTTGACCTATGAGCTGGTGTCATAAGGCACGCGTAACAGTGATGGATGGTGAGATGATTTAGACCCCGCGTGTCCCGGAGATCTAGAAGCGGTCACCCGGCACTGAAGAAAACCAACCGAGGGAAATCGGCTAGGGGTGCCCTCACCCTCGGGAGTCGGAGTCGGCGCCGAGCATGTCCGATGATCGGGAGCTGACAGGTTTGGCTTTTGGTGGGCTGGCTGGTTGAATAAGGGGTTTCTCGAGAGCCTTTTTGTGGAGTTTCGACGCGAACCAAGAGTAATAGTCTAACTAAATGTAGTAATTGCCGAGGCACTGCCCATCAAAGCATCATAGCTGCTCTCCGAGTCGGAACTCTCGAAACCTCGATTAGATTAGATCTGGACAGCGCACACCTCACGACTCAAGAACAGCATATCCTACAAAATCCCATCTGCAGCCTCCATTTCTCCAGACAAACTTCCCCAGCCCTTCACTTACCCCAGCTTATCATCCCCACACCCAAAAGTCACGATGCCGAATACCCCGGACTGGGTCAAGGCCCTCCAGCCATCTGGCCCGCAGGGCACTGAGCTCCTCGCTCAGGAGCGCGCAAAGTCCAACCTCAACGTCGACCAGCTCGCGTCGTTCATGTTCACAAATGAGGCTCTCGAGCGCAGCGAGAGGATACTAAACATCCTGAAGAAGGAGCCTGTCTTTGACAAGACCCAGAACTACTTCCGCGGCCGAAATGCCCGTATCGAGGCTGCGCTGGCGAGAGGCAAGAGACTGTTCCAGTTGACCAAGGAACACAACTGGTCCCAGCAAGACTACATCGTTGCCAACGACCTGATTGCTGAGCCGACACCATATGGCCTCCACGCCAGTATGTTCCTCGTCACGCTTCGCGAGCAAGGCACTCCGGAGCAGCACGAGCTTTTCCTCAAGCCCGCCGAGAACTACGAGATCCTCGGATGTTACGCCCAGACCGAGCTTGGCCACGGCTCCAACGTTCGTGGCCTCGAGACCACGGCAACGTGGGACCCGTCTGATAAGAGCTTCGTTCTGCATTCGCCTCACCTGACGGCCTCGAAGTGGTGGATCGGTTCCTTGGGCAAGACGGCCACCCACGCCGTCGTCATGGCCCAGCTGATCCTCAACGGCAAGAAGATTGGCCCCCACCCCTTCGTCGTGCCGATCCGCGACAAGAAGACTCACGAGCCTCTCCCGAACGTCCACGTCGGCGATATCGGCCCTAAGTTCGGTTACAACACCATGGACAACGGCTTCTTGCTGTTGAACAATGTCAAGATCCCGCACAACCACATGCTCGCCCGATTCTCGTCCATCGACCCGAACACGAGCAAGTACATTCGTCCCGCGAACCCCTCTCTCATCTACGGAACCCTCACATGGGTGCGATCCAACATTGTCCTGCCCTCAGGCTCCGTCCTCGCCAAGGGTGTCACCATCGCCACCCGCTACTGCGCTGTTCGTCGGCAATTCCAGGACCGCGATGCGCCGGCCGGTGAGCCCGGTGAAAACCAAGTTCTCAACTACACCATGGTGCAGATTCGTCTGCTCCCACTCCTGGCAGCCACCTTTGCCCTTCACTTTACCGGTCGCGGTATGATTAATCTCTACAACGAGAACCAGAAGCGCATGAAGGGCGACGTCGGCAAGCTCAGCGACGGAACCAGAAACCCGGGCCCCGAGGAGCTGAACCCCGGGACCGACCTCCTCGCTGATCTCCACGCCACCTCCTGCGCTCTTAAGGCCTATGGCTCAACCGTCGCCGGCGAGGGCCTCGAGATCTGCCGCCGCGCCTGCGGAGGTCACGGATACTCCTCCTTCAGCGGTATCGGTTCCTGGTACGCCGACTACCTGCCAACCCTGACCTGGGAGGGCGACAACTACATGCTCACCCAGCAGGTATCCCGCTACCTGTTGAAGTCTGCTCGCTCTGTCCTCAAGGGCAAGGCCGGCAACAACGACACCACTCGCATTCTTTCCGAGTTCCTCCGCCGCCGCGACATCGGCGCCGCCTTCGACGTCCTCGGCTCCGACGAGGACCTCGTTGCTGCCTTTGCCTGGCGCGTGTCTTTCCTCACCTTTGAGGCCCTCCGCCACAGAGACGAGGACAAGCAGTCCTGGAACAGCCTTCTCGTCGACTTCTGGCGCCTCAGCACCGCGCACGCCCAGTACATGGTCGTCAAGAATTTCCACCAGGCTCTTAACGACAAGGCCACCACCGAGCAGCTCGACAAGGACACGGTCGGTCTCCTGCACAAGCTCTTCAGGCTGTATGCTCTGAACACCCTCGAGCAGGAAGCCAGCGAGTTCTACAGCTCTGCGGCTGTCACCGTCCGCCAGATCACTTTGGCGAGAACAAAGGCCGTCATGACCCTCTTGGAGGAGATCCGTCCCCACGCAGTCCGTCTGGTCGATGCCTGGAAGTTTGACGACTGGGTCCTGGACAGCAGTTTGGGCCGCTACGACGGCAAGGTGTACGAGGACATGTTCAAGCGCGCCAGCGAGGACAACCCGCTCAACAGCGTCGTGTTTGACCCCTACCCCAACAGCAAGGTGCTGTTCAAGAAGGATGAGAGAAAGGACCTGAGAAGCAAGTTGTAAATGATCTCACTAGACGGGAGACTATAGATGTTATAAGGGATGGTTAAATGTTTTGATTGTAGAACTACTAGCGCAACGCAGATGAATAGAATCTGAAAGAATGGGAGATTTCACTTAGTACTAGGTACCTGCAACGGCTGTGTGCTTTCCTCTTCTGCCATGAGCCACTGTGACTTTGAACACCTGGTTATGTCAAGGCATGAGGTTTAAGGCGCATTGTCTGAAGGTCGCGGAGACTCACGTTTTGTGGCAGCCATAGATTCCGAAGAGTCCTCACATGGCAGCAAGCGATTCATCTTCCTTCCCATGTAGTTGAGGGCGAGCCCAACGCAGCGGTACCTAAGCCTGAGTTGAGGTTTGTCGGCCGGGGCCAGGTCTCGTCGACGACACCGTCGGTTTTCCAGATCATCAACTCAATTGATCTCTTCGCGTCTGATTTCCGACGTCCCTACTTCAAATGATTATATTTTGATTGGAGGCCTAGTTCTTGCCCACAGGAAGCACATCGACTTCGTCTGGTATCTTGATTTCCATGCTATACTAAGATAACAGGTTCCCAACTGGGTTCAACAGAGACCCATCCATCCAAGGAAATGAAGCCGATACCAAGACGAGAGTAGAGCCCGCTCGTGCGAGATGTAATGAGTACATAGAATCCAAACCCTTGGCTTTCCGCAAACATGTCATTATGCTCCCAGGTTCCAGGAAACTTGAGACCAGCAGCGACAACCACCATGTAGTGGCTAGTTCCCATGCTCAGGCATTTCAACGCCCACTGCTTATGCATCGGTGCAGTAACTCCTATCTTTGCACCATCGTTGCCGTAAATAGTAAGTTGAATCCCGTCATCTTCCCCGCGAAGATATGACCCTATCCGGACTCTGGCAACTGTGGTGTTGAAAACGAGACAGCGAGGGTGTTCTTCAGCCCTGGCTTTAGTCTTACTATCAAGCTCAATCTGGTGGCGAGCTATCACAGGGTTATGCGGAGTCCGTTTCCACATGTCAACCACGGACATCCACGATGACTCTTGCCGAGGATCCTTGTATCCAGCCACCTGGCTAAGCTCTCCCCTGGGTTGAAAGAAGGCTTCAAGATCTCGCTGGAAGTCTTCTTGTCGCACGGAATCATCGATTCGATCTTCTGGAAACCAAACCTTGCCTTCACAAATGTCCCTGAGTCTAGAGGGACCAGTAGACACCGGATCGCAATAGAAGAAAGAGACGAGATGTCCAAAGTGAATTTGATACATCGGGTCCAACCAGTCACCGTCAATTCTGCCCCCGAGGGATCGTTGATAAACAACGGAGCCTTTTCGGGTAGCCCAAGTCCATGAAGGAAGTCTCAGCCCTTCAGTCGTGCGGTATGTAACCGCCAGAGGAGAGCAAAACGACCACAGGAGGCTGTGTGCCAGGTACCTCTCCGGAAGCCCCAGCAGCATCTGCGTTCTGGCCCGCGCAGCGACGACATTGCCAACGCCAGCAAATGCGCTCAGCACGTCTTCTCGACGGCCGAGTATGCGTTTTGTGTACTGGTCCACGAGAAGCGGGTAGAATCCGAGAACCCCGTCATCGCTGTACTCGTCGGATCTTAGGCCCTTTTCGAAACCTCTCCCGCCCCAGTCTTGATCTGTTCGAGTAATGCCGATATTCTCTGATTCGTCTTGCGGTCGATAGTGCCTGATGTCCGGGTATCTATGAAGTTCAGAGCCCTCGTGGAAGCAGCTGAAGTAGACGTGCCCGGAGCTGAAGAAGATGTGCCGCCGAGAGAGCAACTTCTCCTGGAATGTCCACGCTCTCGAGTTCCACTCGCTGGAGCTGATGACCTGGTTCTCGCTGAGAGGGGCTATCCCGACAACGGCATGGTCCATGGCGGAGCTCCCGTCCGATTTCGTACCCTCGACTACTTTAGGCACATGTTTGATGAATTGCCAGCAATGATTCTTGTAGGTGGAAACGTTGGGCCGCGTAATAAGTCCAGGTAACCCAGCACCAACACCATTCGCAGCTGCAACAATGGTGAATTCTGCGAGTTGATAAATGTCGTTCATAGCGTTGATCTGTGCCATCTTGAGATCTTCATCGTCCTGCAGGATGCACAGGCGATCAACCCAGAGGTATCGCTGTCTCATGTTCCGGCATAAGTAGATGGCGTCCCCAACTACTTCTGGTAGCAGATCCCGTACAAGAGAATCTGTTTGTCTCAACTTTTCTGCGTTCGAAGTTGTCAAGTGAAGGTCTCGATCCGCTGAAGCAGTTGCAAGCCTCCATGTATAACTCAATGCCACAAAAGGAGCCTGGGGTTTTGGCTGGGTAATCCGCATGCGCTTAGTGTCGATAACGCGGAATCCGGCAGGAAGTTCTGATTCTGTCAAGGGTTCGTTACATTTGGATCCGTGATGCGCGTGGCAGCCCGCCAACCAACTGCGAAGGAGGCTGATATTGATATATCGCCGATCCCAGAACTCTGCCGACTCAAGTTGGGTTCCGTCTTGAGCCCCATACTGAAGTCTAATCCCCAGAACGACAGGCTGATAGGCGTGATTTGATTTATTCATAGCTGGCGGTGTAAGCCCCGAGACGCAGATGGCCAAGGCGCAGCTCTCAGTGAAGGGCGACGTCTCATGTGCCCTATTAGATATGAGGGTACGAGAGCTTGGGTCCGTCCTACGGCTTGGGAAGAGTCCACAGACTGCGATTTCAGTGTCGTCACCGGCGCCAGCTACGGTGCTTAGCTTCGAGCCAATGAAGCTGCATATCATACACTCTGAGTTATTTGCGGTGCTCTTTAACGATCGAAAGGTCAGAAACTGGAAGCCGCACGAGGCTGATTCTGATTCGTCAAAGTCGGGATCGAAAGCTGAGACGTCCACGTCTTGTGAAGCGTAATAGCAGAAGACAACATGGAAAAAGTCATTCCATGGCTGGCAGCCATCGCAAAGAAGGGGATTGGGAATGGGATTCCTGCCATCTGCACAGAAAGTGCAATCTTTTAGGCTGCTACCGTCCCTGCCAGTTAAGTGTGTAGACATGCTTGATGCATTCTTTCTTCATATTTGGGTCTTCAAGTTGTTAGATGATGTCCTGTATTGCGACTGAGCGAATGAAAGATCAGGCCAGGCAGCCGTCGAAGAAGTTCATCAGACAACATAGGCTGCGGGGTCGCGGGACTTTGGCCGTCATTGGCCAATGATGGGTGGGTAGACGGATGAGCGAATGGCGTATCGTGAAGCTCTCCCGACCCATGTAACATGGACTGACAGCATGGAAATTCTCTCTCATATCAACACTTTTACAACCCTCATAGCTGTATCTGGGCTGAATCGATATCTCAGGACCATTTCGAAGCGTAATGAAAATGGAAAACTGGTCTGAGTCTAGGAGTTTGAACCAGTATAGGTTGTGATGCAAGCTGCTGGCCAAGATCCGTCCTTGAGGAAGATACCGCTTCCGGAATATGACAACTTCAAGCGGCGACTATTATTCTTTAGCTATCATGGAAGAAGAATTGAGCTTTAATTTGAAAGAATACGTCTGCATCTTCATCAGGGTAGGTTGGATTAAGAGCCATCCTAGTAGCTAACACAATAGTTCACTGCTCATGTGTCTCCATTTCCACCATTACTGCTATTCCCATTACTGCTGGTCCTACAACCACTTCTCTTATTATTACCACCATTATTCTATTTTTAATTTTGATTTTGTACGTAGTATTTGGAGAGTACGCTCTTAATATCGTATGGTAGTAAGGTAATTGTGGTAGTGGTAAGGTATGGGCGGGTCATAAGAAGGGATCCAAGAGCTAGAAAAATGAAGGCAATTTTCTTCTCGTCTCCCTATGACCTTCTGACTATGGAGAAGTGATGGACTGAGAAATTCATGTATAATCCTGCGTGCATCTTTATTGAAGGATTAACTGGTTGCTGCATTGCTGATCAGGAACGTTTGCTCCGGACTGTTGTGGCTTTTGGCGGGCACATGCGCCCTGCCCGGTAAAGTGACGTCAATAGCTCCCCACCATGTCGCTCTAAGACAAGCTCCCGTCAAGCTCCCATCCCTTCGCACCTAAGGCAAGGTACCAAGCTCAAGCTCCGTCTTTCAACTTCTTTTTCTAACGGTGCCTAAATTCTTCCATCTCAAGACATTTCCCCTACAGACACCTTTCATTACCACAAGCGGGATATCAAAGAGCTACCTGGGCCCTTTGGCCTCCAACCGCCACCATGCAGATCCGGAGCACCTCCATCTCGACCTCGATCCTCGCAGCCATCTCAGGCGACTCAAACAAACCCGACAAACCAAGTCTCAAAAAGCGCATCTTCCGCGTCTTCACCTCTTTCCTGTCCGTCTTCCACCTTCCTCTCGCCCGATACCGCGCCGCAGACTTCCTCGAACTCCGACACAATGTCTGGCAATTCGATGAAGACGAGTACACGAACTCCTTTCACCTTGCAAAGAAGGTAGCCAAGGGCAAGGGCCGCGAATCCGATCTTGTCCCTGTCGGCGATCTGGGGTACAGCGGCTCGACCTTCTTCACGACGGCCGACGGCAAGTTTCTTATCAAGTCACTGCCCCGCCGGTTCGAGCATGAGTTCTTCACGCACGACTTGTTTGACGCCTACGTTGCGCATATGAAGACACATCCGCACAGCTTACTGGTTCGCATCACCGACATGGCGTACACGGCGAAAGCGACGATTGGTGGCATTCTCGGCATGGCGCCGACGCACCACATCATCATGGAGAACCTGATGTTCGGCAAGAAGGAGGAGGAGACCGATCACCGGAGGAATCAGTGGGAGACATACGACCTCAAGCCGAACGACTACTTCTTCCCTGAGCGGGACATTGCCAACGGGAGCCTGGCACCGCAAAGTGTTAAGGAACGTTTGATTGACGAGTTCGAGGACAAGGTCCGCGTCACACCCGCCCAGAAGAAGGAGCTGCTTGACCTTCTCGAAGCCGACACCCAACTCCTGGCCGAGAACAACGCCGTCGACTACTCCCTCTTCATGGTGCGCTTCCCCGGCCCCAACGTGCTAGATGAAGCTCGCGACGTACCCACAATCCAATCCGACGCACCTCCCTGGCGCACTGGCCTGACAGACGCTGACGGCAACTGGACCTACCGCATGATCGTCCTCGACTTCTTCTGGGCCAAGCACAAGTTCCGCGCGAAGGCCATGACTGGACTGGTCAAGTCATACAACGTGTTTGCTGGTCACGGCCCCATGAGCATCACTGCCAACCCTACGGAGTACCGGGAAAGGTTCCTCAACATGGTCCGGGATTTTGTCATTGAAGTTTAAAACAATCAGTCAATGAGTATCAGGAGTGGATTTTGGAGGTCCCCTTGGCTATCGAGTTATTGAAGCACGGCGTTGGGCTAGCATGTATACCCCCTTTCCTTGCGTAGCATCAGTTCCTTCTCCAAAATTTGAAGATACCAGATTTCAGGCGATGCTTTCCGAAACATGTGGTGATATTTGTCCCGCACTGAACTATTGCTGCGTGTTTACTGCATTTCACACGACTCTTTCCTTGATATACCTCATCAGTTCTAATAATGCTGTTACAAGTTCTTGGAGCCTTTGTTACAAGTTCACTTCGAACTACATGCATCCGATCCGCTTCACTTGATTCCCTTCACTTGACCTCCTTCACTAGACCATCTTAAAAGATAGTTCAAGTCACAATGGATTGAGATCAGGGTCCTCTCGTAGAACTGTGCCTCATCGCACTTGCTCACATCTTACTTCCCTTCATGATGACTTGTCTTACCATGAAGACTAGGCTGCCTGAGCTCATCTATGACATTTCAGCACCACTATCTAGTAGTAGTATTCACAACTCTTTGGGATTATCTGCACAAACTTACGACACTTCATGATGAGAATAGGCCCCTCCCCTCTCAGGAACCCTTTCCAGTCTCTAACTGCTTGCTCTGATATGTCTAGTGTAGTCCCGGTGGTAGTCTTTTAGCAATGGATTCTAACTTCCCCCATGTGAAGTCCCCGTCTGGCATTCACCCCCGAAGTTGGTCTTTGGAGCTCTTCCGTCGACCACTGTCCCCGCATAGCCTCAGTTCCCGTCTCCGGCCGTCAGGTTGCCCTAGGGTTGTAAAAGTCAGATTCTTTTCTCAGCTCACCAATTCTCTTCTTCTCTTTCTTTTTCTTCTCACCTTCACCTACCTCTTCTTCCTTACCTCTCTCTCTTCCTCTTCCTCGGCAGCTTCCCTCTTCTCTCTGGCATCTACAGAGGATCTAGAGGAGAAGGGGGCTTCTTCCTTTACTCCCTCTTCCAGCTTCGCATTTACCCTACCGCCAAACTCCTCGCCGCCTCGTCCTTCTCGACTTTCCGCTTCGCTCCGCGACTAGCTCCGCGGTAGTTCCTTCTCTGCTGAGTCTACCTCTGGGTGGAGTCTAGAAGAGGGGGGATCTCTTCCTCCCGCCTCTTCTTGGAGTCTTCTTCCTCCTACATCCACATCCCAACTCCGAGATAAGACTTTCACTTACCTTAATATTCTCGCTTCTCCGATCCGGAGTACTCAGGTATGTCATCCAGGCAAGAGCCTCACTCAAGTTTGAGATCAGCATTGAGCATCATTAACATACCTCTGGTCGTCTACAGTCTTCCACCTGAAGCAACAACCTTTTTTCCTCCCGAATTAAATCTGCTTCTAAGTCTTGGCCTCGATTCTATAGAGCAACCGTACAACAACACATCAGCATAGACATAGAGACGGAGATTTCGCCTTGCTTTTCGGCGTTCTTGACATCAGCATCGGCGCGTCTTGGCTCTTATAGAACAAGCCTTCTATAAGCCAGTTATCGACAACGAAACAAGATCGTTTAGATCATTCACCAACATCTTCTACCTCATCAACAGGTAGCAGCAACACTGAACGCAAAGAATCACCTGGTGGAGATTTCTCTGCCTACCGCATACTGCAACTCCTGAACTCTTTGGGTCAAGATAGCTCAAGCATTTTCAGACTCAGCTAGGTAAGTCATGATATGTTTCAGCACTGCTTGCTCACCGCCCCAAGAACCTGTCCCGACTTCCCGACCCTCTTGCACACCTGCCTTATCTTACGAATGGCGCTTTCCATCCGCGTCAACGGCAGCTCTTGCCTTTCCCGGAATGAAAAGCACGGGGGTCTTAATAGCTTCTCCCTTCATTCTGATTTCGCCCTTCATCTTTTCCCTTCTACATCACCACTTTCGAGGACCCAGCCGTCAGAGGTTGGCAGAGTAAGCGGTACTCTCAATCGTCATTTCCAATTCAATCACTACAAGAATCGATTTCAGCCAGTACTTCCTATCTTTGCTCCCGCATCATCTTCATCATTCATATCTCAAATTTCTCTCAGTTCAAAAAAAGCATCGCCAGTCAATTCGTTAACACCTTTCGTTTACAGTTCTCTCACAGAATCAGTCACAAGCTCCTGCACCTCAATAGATCCTCCGAACCTCTTCCACCAGCAGCATAACGCAACGGCGGCCAAAATGGTTGACAAATACGACCCCCGTTTCCCCGGTCGTGTCATCAAGCAGGAGAACAATAATGACGGTGATGAGAGCGTCTACGCGTCGACTGACGATGGCTTTAATGATGACAAAAGCGACGCCGGAAGCCCACCCGCCCCTGCTCGTCCGATCCTTCCCCAGTCAAACTCGGAGAAGCTCATTGATTTCGGCGACGACTTCGATGACCCCGAGGATGTGGAAGCTACTGTCTCTGACACCAAGCATGCCCAGACGATCACGAGTGTCGCTGTCATTAAGCAGGGCGATTCCCAAGAGACCGCGATTCCGCCTCGTGAGAACAGACTTTCCCCGATCGAGCCTTTCGTTCCTGGTCGCAAGCCTTTGAACCCATCCTCGGCCGAGTTTACTCCCAGCAGCACGAATCGAGACCATTTGTCGTCGAACCAGTCGTTCTCGTCCTACTCAGATGCTCGCCGAAGCTTGGACACGGGAGATGACCTCCATGCTATGAAGTCTCGCCTCAGCCGGCTCGAGGCCGATTACGAAGCCCTCAAAAGCGAGAATGAGAGCCTCGAATATGTCAACGAATCGCTAAAGCATCAAGCGAACTTGGACCAGGCCACAATCACCAATCTCAAAGACGATATCAAGGAGGCCAATCTTCTCAGATGCAGAGCGCAGACTTACTCTGTCGAACAGAATGAGCGAAACAACAAGGATCAGGAAGCACTGAGCAGACTCCAAGACGATCTCGACCATAGCCAAGAGCAGCTCACAGAATACAAGGCGAAGTATGCCGGAGCGGTCGCAAACAATGCACCTCTCGTTGCTCAGCTCCAGGCCATGCAGAACTGCCTTCTCAACGCCGTTGAGCGGGCCAAAATGTACGAAGCTTTCATGCGCTCCTTTATCACTTATCACCCAGAGGTTATAGAAGCTTTCGCAGCCATTGGAGTCTCTCCTGATGACGGCGCAACCACGAAGCCCGGTCTCCCGACGGTTCTTGGCATCAATGACGAGCCTTTGATATCATTCGAGGACCATTTTCCAGCTCTCCAGACACCTTCCAAGCCCCAGAACGTTAATCGAGCCAACCAGGCAACTTCTCCGAAGCCCGAGTTCCCCTACACCTTCAAGGAAGCCCTCGTCACGCCCGACTCTGTGGCCGAAAAGCAGCACCCTACTCCCCTCATTGCACACCTTGATGACCAGAACATCGAGACTGCAACTCGCCCGGCCGATAATGAGATTGGTCTCCACTGGAGTGATGGAAGCGATAACATCTGGGACAGTCCATTCCAGAAGGACCGCGCGCTGCAGACACACCAGCGTACCGTTGGAAGTCGTCACCCTTCAGCGGTGCCGGGTATGTTGAAATACGGCCTTCGGTATATACGAAATGAGGCTGGTCAGAAGCTAACCGCCGACAATGGCGTATCAGATGTGTCTTCCAGAACGATCATCATGACTGGACTTCCCGACGAGGTTCACGTCCAGCGCGTCCTTGAGCACATCCGAGGCGGTCGAATTCTCAAGGCCCACGCGATGCCGATGGGAACTAGTGATAATCGCTTCAACCATGCGTACATTGAATTCACCTCTCCGGAGGATGCTAAGGCGTTTTACCAATACGGCCTGGACCGCGGTCGCGAAATCGGATTTACCACGGCTGATGGTAACTCGGTTCAAGTCCGCATCAGCATGCCCAACACGGACTCATTTCCCCTCAAGGACTCGATTCTCACCATGATTCGCGAGGGAAGTACTCGTTGCCTGGCCGTCACCGGATTTCCCGTCAAGGATCTGCACATGGTTCTCAAGAGAGCTGGGCTGGCGTCCACCTTCGCTGAAGTCATCACGCACTTTGCGTACGCCGACGAGAAAAGCTTTCAGATCTCATTCTCCAGCATCGAGTCAGCTGTGCTTGTTCGTAAGTGCATCATTGGATCCCCTCTTCACAGCGGTTCGCCCGAGGGGCACGATGTCATCTTCTGCCCGGACCCGTGCGATGCCTCGCTCGATGATCTTCTCCAGATTAGACACCTCCCTACATCCCGCTCGTTCAATACCGATGTCATCTCCGCAGAGAACACTCGCGGCTTCCAGACCAAAGAAGAGGCCGAGGCCGAGGATCAGCGCTATCAAGAGGCATGGCTTGCGAATGCCCACTCAAATGATCCGGAGGAAGAGGCAGAGTTCGATGCATTCCGAGAGAGGCAGAAGCCCATTACTTGGGAGAAAGGCGCAAACTGGGACGAGGCCGTTGAGTACATGGCTTATGACCCTGATCAGAGAAAAGAGGTTCGTCACCGCAAAGATTCCAAATCAGGTGCCTTTCAAATGTGGTATTCTGCTGGCTGGGCCTACACCACAGAGCAGTCGCAAAAGGAATGGCTGCACTATAACATCGACAGCACTGACCCTTATACCCAGCAGACTGCGGACTTGATATACCAGAGCACTGGCGCGATTGATCAACGAAAGGTGAATGCCTATCTTCGGACCAAGAACAAGAAGCAACATGAGCAAGACCATGACGCTAACCAAGACGCCAACAGCAACAGCAAATCATCGTTGATGACGGCGGAGTCGATGGAGACGCAGACCAGTCTCTGAATGACGGATCGGCCGCTCGCCGCTCCAACCTGTCGGCCAGACCCTTCGCGGAGTCCATTGGTATGAGGGGCAACGGTCGATCGGTTCCCGTCACTGCCGTATTGCCAATTGCCGGCACCGAGTACAACCGCGTCGGCGGTAACACTAGATTGGGAGTCCCGTCTCTTCTAGACGCTCCGTCGATCCCGAACACCAATGTACCGACTACGCATTTGGCATTCCGTCAGCGTCTTCAGGAGATCAACCATGCTCCTTCGTCCGTCGCTCCATCGGCCATGAGCGGAGGTGTAGCCCTACACGGAATCACAAAGGCAGGATTCAACAAGCTGGCAGCCCGGGTTGCGCAAGACAAGCGCGAAGCGAGCAACAAGAAGTCTCGCAAGGACGATTGCCCCTTTTGGTAAGGGGAGGGGATAGGAACGGGGAGGGTGCGGTCAGGGATTTGGTGATTGCACGTCGGAATGACGACTTTATTGCCATCTTGTGGATGGTCTATTGGGCTTTGGTTGGTGAGCGCAGAGCGATAAATTGATGGTCCAGCTCAGAGAATGGTTTGGAGAAGGGTCCTTAACTAGCGTGATACAGCTAATTCCGTTTACATGACTTTCAGGTCCCAAGCGACTTGTTCAGCTTTGACTGTATAATTCTGGTATGATGCTCGTCCAGAATTCGCGACATTGCATGCGCGATACGTGTAGCAATTCACCATACGAGAAAATGCCGTGGATAAACGGGAGCAAGATCAAATGAATATCTCTCAAGGTAGGATGATTACCTAGCCAAGAGAGACGTATTTGATCATATTTGGTTTTAGTTAATTTTAGGTACTATGTGCGTCAAAAAGCTCACCCTTCCACAAAGAAATTGATTGAAACGTAAGCTTTTTCAAGTACGTAAAGCCTGACATTAACTAAACCCCAAATAAGATCAAATATATCTCTCCTGGCTAATCATCCGACCTTGGCACGCCAAAACGCCTCGCCTTTGCATTGTCCTGATCTGTGACCCTCTCTTCCTCTACTATGGCCACCCGTCTTGACCCTTCTACTCCAACGTGGCCCCGCCAGAATAGCCCGCGGCGTCAGCCTTCTACGTCCATCGTCTCACTAACCATCAACACCTCACAGTCCTTCTTGCCCACTATCTCCAGTCGTCGCAGAGTCGTCGTTTCGTGTTTCGGCGGTGGGATTCGACTAGATGGGTCCTCTTGGACGTGGGCTGGTAGATTTGGTTCCGCTCGTCACACCCGTCTTCCCCTACGAAATGCTTACTTTCCCCTTGCCTCCTTTCTCATATCGTTGGATAAAATACACTTGTGCATGCGTTCGTGGATATCGTATATCGAAACATTTAAATAAAGTCGTCGACAAGACGGTGATTGTCTGTATCAAAGTCTCGATGTCGTTCGTTCGAGTTTGTAAGGATAAGGTAGGGAGTGTTGCCTATGGTTGACTACTCGATCCGTGGCGGCGTCTTTGACGAGTATGGTGATGCGCTTCTCCTTTTTGAAAGAAGGGGTGTCAGGGAACCCTCAAGACAAGTTTACGTTTTTACGCTTTCAAGATCAGGGAGTACAAGTACAGTAAGAGGACAACGGCACTGCCATCATCCACAAGTCGCAAAGACCAAAAAGACAGGCGGAAATTCAGTAGGGGGGGAATATGAGGGATTGGCGCTTACGATCTCCTCCGCTCGCCCTCCTTGCGCAAGCTCTCGATAATCTTGAGCATCTCTTTACGTCCGCCGTGGCTGTCAATCAGCTTATTGGCCATGCTCATGCTAACCTTTTCGCGAGCGTTTGCGCTGAGCAGGCGCTTTATGAGCAGGTGGCGCATGAGGATGCATACAAACACGCCGCAGTCGCTGCCGTTCTCCTGCTGCGGGGAGTCGTCAAGGTTGAGGTAGCGGAGTGGGCGGCCAAGGATCTCTGACATTTTGTGGGTGGCGAGGCGGCCCTCTGCGTAGTTTGCGCCGCCGAGGGAGTCGTAGTGGAAGGCGACGCCGTCGATGGCGCTGACGAGCAGCAAGGACCAGTGAGAGCCGCCCTCGGCCTGGGCGACGTTGCGGGCGTCGTTGATGGGGAGGAAGATGTGTGTTACTTTGGAGAAGTCGGGGAGGGCGGAGCGGATCTGGCGCATGTCGGGCTCCTTCATGAGGAGGAAGGTCATTGAGGGCCGCAGGAGGATGATGCGGGCTTGGGGGTACTTTGGGAGGACTTCGCGTTCCAGCCATCTGTGGTTGTCGGTTGTTAGGAGGGTTCAGACAGTGTGGTGTTGTTGGCTTTGGGATCGGTTAGAACTCACTCTTCCCAGAATGCAATGTTCTGTATACTCATTAGCAAGGAGCAAGCGCAAGGTGGGAGGGGAGTCGCACGTTATCTGTCAACCAGTCGTTCTTGAGCGACTTGATGTCTTCATAGGTGACTGCACGCAATACGAGTAAGCTCAACATATTCCGGGAGGCTAGATCAGGGTCCAAGTAGTCGGAACGGGCGGACTCGGTAAGGTCCCGGCACCTCGTGATCCATGAGAGGGTTTACGTACGGAGGATATCGTGATCTGCATCGTCCACAAGAAGCTGTCAGCCGGGGCCATGATCACCGCGGGATGGTGGGACGACACCGCGAGAGTTGCGGCGCATCATCGGGAAGTGAGGAGGAGTGCGACTTACACGACAAGTAAGGTTGCTGCGGGGAGAGCTAGGACGCGATTCGGGTCAGTTCACTGGCGCTTGCGCTGAAACAGGACGGCCGCCCCTCTCATACTACCCCGCCGTTGCCAGCCTCACCACCGACCGCACTTGGGACCAGCAGCGACGAGACGAGATGGGCATGTGCTTGCCCGTCCACGGCTGTCGTCCGACCTGGAGTGCAGGATACGATGAGAGATTGTGACCTCATCAGGTTGCACCTCCCGATGTTGCGGCGGCGGCAGCGAGGCGAGGCGAGGCGAGGCGAGAGCAAGCTAGGCCAGGTCCAAAGACAAAGACGGGAAAGAACAGGAGGGCAAGAAAGAAGATCTTACAGTGTCACCAAAGTGACGGGCCATCTTCCTGAAAGGCATGCTCAAGCGCGACTCGGACCTGTGGCCGGACTTTGTGCTGCTCGTCGGGGAGGTCGAGGGGGAAAGCTGAAGGGATGCTGGTGGTGATGCTGCTGAAGCCGATGCGGTAGAGGATATCGAAGATGTCGTTGAGGTCGAGCCGGAGCGGGAGGAGTTGATCGCTCGGGGCGGCGATGGTTGTCGGTTGCGAGAGGAGCGGAAAGGTAGAAAGCGGCTATTGTTCGCGGGGAGTTGCGTCAGAGGGGGGATGCTTTAGTTCGGCTCGAGAAGAGCAGCGATCTTTTCCAAAAATGACTTTAGGGTAGGTGTATTTGGCGTACGGTAGGGAACTTGAGGAACCGGTACAGAGTACGGGTAGAAAGAAGATTGAGGACAAGGACGGAGGAAGAAGAGGAAAAGGTCCCGGGAATAGGATCAATCGGTAGGAGGATAGGAAGAGACAACGGAGGACGAGGGGGGGATAATTAGCCAAGGCTAAGAAATAAAATCCAAAAAAAATAATTCAGGGCCCTTTTTCGCATCCGCTCTTTTTTTGCTTTTTTTTTTTTCTCGCTCGGGATTGATGAGCGGGGGGGGGGGGGGAGGACGAGGGTCTCTGTTGTTTCTGCGTGGGCGGTGGGAAACTTCAGGATCCTCCTGGTCACAGGTTGCAGACGGAGCGGAGCGTAAGGTAGGTTCGCTATGGACGACGGTGGGGAAAGCGAACGGGGAGAAAAGACGATGAACGGGGCTGACTGGGCTGGCTGGCTGCACTGGCTGCACTAGAGTTGGGCTCTGCTCTGCGCTTGCGGCCTGTGGTGCCGTGCATGCAGCGGGCAGTGTGTGCGGTGCAGCTCGGATGAGAGAGGCGAAGAGGTGCTGACTCTCTGAGAATCAGAGGTTGAAGAGACGAGGCTTGAACGGCGAGTGACGACGGGGGGAGACGTGGCCCAGGAGTGGCGCAGCACCACCATGGGAAGAAAGAAGAGACGAAAAATGTGAGGTGACGAGGTGACGAGGTGCCGACAAGCCACACTTGTGGGGGAACCGCGGAGCTAGGGCCTCTATTCCGGGCTTGACTCGATTCGGAAGGAGTCTCCACTCTCCCACGGTGCCTCCGGCGCACCCTCCAGAACCCAAGGGATGACGATGATGTATCCGTCATGTTCTCACTTGAAGAAGCAGGCAGAGAGGATAGGACTGAGAGAGAGTAATAGTGAGAAGATGTAAAATCCAAGCATACCTTGAATTGCTCAACCGGCTGATACCCGTATGAGGCACACCTGCTGCTGTTTGAACATCAACTGCCGCGGCCATCGTACAAAGGTGAAGCACCAGCCAAGTCCGATGGAGTACCAGGGACTGGGTAGTATCGGGAGATGCTCGCAGAAGGTCTTCTTGGTGAGGATGCAAAAGCTGCAAAATGTAGTAGGGTAAAGGGTAATAGTAAGGAGTCAAAAAAGAGTGTTTGCTGCAAAAAGACCACAAGCACTTGTGTCGCAGCGTGGGCGAGGGGGGAACACACGACTTTAACATGCGTCCAAAGGGAACAAGAACGAAACATGCTAGTCTCGATGGCCGATCATCTGCAAGACCTATTTTACCTCTCTGCCTCTCAGTCCTTCGTACCTACCTAAAAGACAGGGATAGGCATAGGATGCCACTGTAATCAAGGTAAGGTAAGGTACGCGAGGAGAAAAAAGAAAGGCTCATAGCTCCCCAAGATCTGGAGACTGGAGAAACTCTACGTAGTGCCGCTGCATCCCGATTCTGTTTACGATTCCCACCAAAGAAACCTCATCTCTGCCTGGTGCCTGCCACCTGCTTGTGACAAATGAATTGAGACGGTGAAGGGAGGAGTCACCATTGGAGAAGAAGGAGGGGGTGGGAGCCATGGCTAAGCCTCTAACAGAGAAAAACCTTCTCTCACAGTCAAGTCTCACTCAGAGACCCTCCCTCTTTCCCCTCACACTCTCTTGTCTGGGACGCAACTGAGAGTAAGATGGTCACTTGAATGTGGGCAAGTGAGTGAGTGTCTAGCCATCCCGCAGTCTTCTCATGATTCCATTACACAGTGAGGGCCTGAAGGTAAGGAAAACACCAGCCAGATGGGCAAGAGAAAAGAAAAGAAAAAAGAGGCGGCCAAGTTTCACCTCGTCTACGTCACCGTGCTGCGGCATCATCATGGTGCTCAATTTACGATACCACCCACCTGGCGCACTTCCCGCCGCAAACCCTTTTTGGATGAAAGTCACGAAAAGGAAAAAGACGCCCAGTGTCATCGACCACGTCTAGCCATTCCCGTCTGGGACTAGATACGCCGGTCGATACTCTTTTTGCCGAGCCATTGCTTTGGCGTAAAGTACCTTACTGACGCTCACAGATCGAGTCACACGAAAACGCTCGCGGCTTCAGTGACGAAGCCAAGGTAGGTACCTAGTCACTCACCGGTGCAATGGACCCTTCATTCACAGTACCTAGGTACATCAAGCATGGAGAAGTGGAAAAGCGCAGGCGGGGGATGAGGAAAGGAAAACGCTCATCACTTGCATCTACGTCTGCCGAACGTGGCTTGCTCCTCCCTAGGACCCCGATCCAGAGCGCCAAGTTTATCTACCAGCCCAAGCAACCCACCCGCAGGGCTGGTGGACGACATGGGGTGCCGCTGGAGAATTGCCTAGCCAAAGGGTCAATTCAGTTCGGGAAAGGAAGGACTCAATGCATCTCAGCTAGGCACTACCACTCACAACACTCTCATCTCGGAACAAGGTAGGTAGGCTCAATCTTGTTGAGAAAATGCCGAGGGGGTCCTCGAACAATTGACTTTGAAAATCGTGCGTTTTGGCACCACCCTGCCATCTTTCTTGGACTGTCCGGGGGATTGATATGGCGGGGGTCCGAGTGAGACAGAGAGGAGAAAGGGAGGTGCCGAAAGCACGCAAAACCTCGGAGCCATCCGCTCACGGCCCGGAAGTGGGACGAAACGCCTGACAGGGTAATGCAATGGCAACACGGCAACGCCTTTGGTCAGAAGTCTAGAATCCTAGAATCTCAGTTGGTATTTCCTTAGGGACAGCTTAGGTAGACCCTGTCCTAAAGACAATCCTATCTTTCTCGCCCATCAATCATGTCTCATGTTCCATGCTTTTGCGTTCCGAATATCGTACAATCGAAGCTTCGTCCTCTTGTCCACTGGCACCAGACACACCTGGTACACTGAAGTTATTCGTGCTGTTGCGCTGTAAGCACCGAATACAACATCTCAGTCCGATCCACCCGCGAGACCTCCCTTGCGTCCAGCCTCGCGCGCACTCTCTGAGCCGGGCTCAAACGAGCCAGAAGACGCCTTGCCGCCCTCGGAAGCAACCTCGCGCAGCTTTTCGGCGTCCATGCTGGCGAAACCGCCCGCGTGGCTTGCGTGTCCGCCCTTGGCTGCAATTTCTTGAACCTCCTCCGTGGGTCTGCGGTCGCGTTAGTGATGTTCCCATGCGATACAAGCTAGTGCGAGGTATCATGTTGAGTGAAGCTTCATATGTGAAAGAGCCGGGTGCTGGGGGCCATTGAAGAGAAGCCAGCTTACCGGTTGGCAAAGTTGCCGGGGTTGGTGTTGCCCGTGGCCGAGTGGGTCTCGGCCTCGATTCCACCGCCGTGGCTTGCGTGACCTCCCTTGGCCGCAATCTCACGTACCTCTTCCGTGGGGCTGTTGAAGACTGTTAGACACATGACACCAAAAGCTGATTTATCTAGCGGAAGGATGAACATACCGGTTTGCAAAGTTACCAGGGTTCGTGTTGCCGCTCGGCACCTCCTGTGGGATGCCACCACCGTGGCTGGCATGGCCGCCCTTGGCTGCGATCTCGCGAACCTCCTCAGTGGGGCTTTGTTCCGTTAGCAACCACTCAAGAGTCAAGATGCAATATCCAGACGCGGGTGGAACAATTGAAAGCATACCGGTTGGCAAAGTTTCCGGGGTTGGTGTCGGCCATGTTGATGATTTGGGGTATGGGACCTGTGTAAGTGGTGGTGTTTGGACTTGTGAGATGGGAAGTGATTGTTCGTGGATGGGATGTAGGAATGCAGAATTGAGAGAGACCAGCCTCGTGAATCTTTATATCAACTACAAGAGATGAGTACCAAAGTACCCAAGGTAGAGAAGGAGCTGCTCAATAATGAGAAGGGGTAGTTGTTGCCTGCTCAGCTGCACCGTTCCTTCCTAGTGACGTTGATTCTAGGCAAACGATCCTTCCCCTCCTGAGGATCGCTGTTACCGACCGCATAATATGACGAGGAAAGACCACACCTGCAGGCTCTACCCCAAATAAGACCATGAAGAACTTCACAAACGCACTCCCCAAACTGCTAGAATCTTGTGCAAATTAAACAACCTATGCGCCCAGCGAACAACTGATTGGCGACGAACTCTTCTACAGCCCCCATGCCCGGGACCTCAACTGACATCACCCCTTCGTCAAACCTGCCAAGATGTCCACAAACCCCCTCCATGGACCACTCCAGACCGTTGAAGACACCCAGCGCATCCTAGGCTGGCGATCTATTTGTTTACTTTTGTTTTCTTCTTACCACACAGAACATCTTATTGCGACGCGTTTGCTCCCTTCAAGGTGCAAAAAATGACGTCGGCTCACAAGATCGCCGTTGGGATATTTTCTGATTTGCTATTTGTGAAACGCTAGGCTTATATCCCTGCTAGAGTAAACAATGCAGATAATGACATACAGAATCTTCTGAGCATGTCATTCATCAGGTAAACCCAAGAACCACGTCAAATCAATTCAGGTGGATATCTCTTTTGATGTAGACACAATTCCCATCAACAAGGCGGAGTAAGTTCAATAGTCTATCCACCTTGGGCTACTCATCTAGCCCTCATCAGGTCCTCACAATGCCAAAGCCCTTCAACGACGTTCCAGTGCCCCGAAGAGGGTCTCATTCTGATCCCGTTTTGCAGCCTGAGCATCGTAAAATAGCATTGGACCAACTGAAGCCTAGGGATACCATCAGTTTCGTGAGCCCTTTCCGTCAGCATACGTATAGTATAGTTGACTCGGTTTATATGATGTAGAGCCTCCCTGGCTCTGACACTTCTATACCGTCGTAGACACCGTCGCGGCCATCATGCACGAGAAACATGGATACCATCAAGATTTGTTGCCGACTTCCACTGTATCAGCAATCAAGGGTTGCATGATCCTTGTGCCACTCTTGACTTTTTCGCGCGAGCAATGTAAGCCTCTGGGGGTTCCTTTGCATCTCGAAGTGATATCCTCGACACGGTCTGTTGGTAGAGGCGACCATGTCTTCGACATTAGAAAATCTCCGAAAGAGAGGCCGTCTAATGATGGGTGTAAGCCACAAGCGTGCCGCGGAACCGTCAGGAAGTCTCGAGCCCCCTTCGTCGACGCAAATACCCGAGCCCCGGCACGCCAGCCTCTCAGCCGCTGTCTCGATCAGATGTGCCGAGTATCCCTCTCTACAGATGATAGTAGTAAATATACCACGATCAAGCTTTATGTGCTGAAAGCAGGGTTCTGCTCCATCGTGCTCGAAATGTGCTTCCGCAGCGCAGCCCACCGGCTCGAAGTCGCACTCGTCGTCGCCGCCTCCTGCGCCATCGTCCCCTCAACCGCCATCGCACCAGCACCGCTAGCATTCGCAGCAGTCGGCACAGAAGCCAAAGCAGCCATACTAGCCCCAAACCTCGCCACCTCCGCTTTAACAACCTTCTCCTTCCTCTTGAGCGCCCCCGGCCTGCTCTTAAGACTCTTATGCCGAATTTTTCCCTCGCGCAGCTGATCCAGCGTCTGCGCGCCCTCTTCCAGCTCAGGAAGCGCGTCGGCGAGCGACTCCATTGTCGCGACGAGCTTCTTATTCGGTCTCCGGCGCTTCAGGGTCTTGCCGCTGCCGGGGGCCGTCTTGGCGACTTTGCTGAGGAAGGCGCTGTGTTTCATCGTTCGCTTGTCCTTTTTGTTGGTGAGGAAGCCGTCGTCGACTTGGGCTTCGGGGCGGAGGGTCTTGTGCGGTGCGAGGGGGTGGATGTCGCCGCGGATGCGGGCCATGCGCTTCTCGCGGGCTGAGAGGGCTTTTGTTGGTGCTGTGGGCGCCTTCGAGACGTTAGCTTTTGCTTATTCGGGTGGGGAGGGAGCGGGGATTGGAATTGCATTACCATTTTGAATGATCAATGTCTTGGCGGTTCTGTAGAGTTGTACGGATATGGTTGAAGAAACTCGAGTCCAAAGTCGGATCTGGAACAAAGCTGGTAAAGTTTGAGGACTGGACCCAACGCTTCCATCAAAAATTCGTGGTGGGGCCGCAAAGAGAGAGGAGTGGGTCTTTTGGAATCGCGGGGTCGGAGATCGGGGGCGGAACCTCCGACATTCTATAGAGGTCCGCCCCGCCGCTCACAAATTCCGCGCTTGGGGAGTCATCGATTCTCACTTACACCGCACGCACCCACGACAAGATGAGCAGAGTCGAGGAGCTGCGACGGAAAGTCGCAGAGGCAGAGCTCGACCTTAAAAACCTCAAAGAACAACTAGCTAGCGCAGAGAAAGAAGCACAGGAGGAAGCATCAGCATCATCATCATCATCTCAACCCTGGAAATGGCCCCTGCAACCAGAGGATTATGAGAGATATGGACGACAGCTCATCATACCGCAAGTAGGCGTCAAAGGTCAGCCTTCACTATATAACTTTTTGAGTTGAACCCTTTTCACTGATGAGACTAGGTCAACTAAGACTGAAAAAGTCCAAGATCCTCATCATCGGCGCCGGGGGTCTGGGATGCCCCGCAGCGGCCTATATAGCCGGAGCAGGGGCCGGCACCATCGGCCTCGTCGATGGCGACGTCGTCGAGGTCTCCAACCTCCACCGCCAAGTCGCTCACTCGACTGACAGAGTCGGCATCTCAAAGGTCGAAAGCGCAATCACATACCTAAAGGGGTACGCAAACCCCCTTTCCTTACACTATATCTCTACAAAAGCTTACACTACCACACCCCAACTAGTCTCAACCCACTAGTAACATACCTTGCACACAAAACACACCTAACACCTACCAATGCCGAGGAAATTGTATCGCAATACGACCTCGTCCTCGACTGCACCGACCACCCGACCTCCCGCTACCTCATCTCCGACATCTGCGTCCTCCTTCAGAAACCCCTCGTCTCCGCCTCGGCCTTCCGCACAGACGGCCAGCTCATCATCCTCAACTCCCCCGCCGCGCCACAGGGCACCTTGGAAGGCGGCGGACCCTGCTACCGCTGCGTCTTCCCCAAGCCGCCGCCGCCCGATAGCGTCGTCAGCTGCGGTGAGGGCGGCATCCTCGGGCCCGTGGTCGGCGTCATGGGCGTGCTGCAGGCTCTCGAGGCAATCAAGCTTGTTGCCTTGGGCGCGGTGGATCAGAATGTGATGGACAAGAGCGCGATTGCAGCCGCGCCTTCTCTTCTCATCTTTTCGGGCGCGGCGACTTCGGGGCAGTTTAGGTCAGTTCGTATGCGGGGCCGAAGGAAAGCTTGCTTCGCTTGCTCTGCGGCGTCGACGCTGTCTCTTGAGACTCTGCGATCGGGGTCGCTTGACTACGTGTCTTTCTGCGGTGTTACTGCGCCGGTCAGTGTTCTCGCGTCCGAGGAGCGCATTTCGGCGACCGAGTACGAGCGGGTGTTCAAGAAGAAGGGTGGCCGACATCTTTTGCTGGATGTTCGAGAGCGCGAGAACTTTGATATTTGTAGCATCGATGGCGCTGTGAGCGTACCGATTGCAAAGTTCATGAAGGATACGCAGCCGTCAAGCGAGGGGGTTCGGCCTCAACCCGAATGGCTACCGTCAGATTTCCCAGAGGGTTCGCCCATCTATCTTGTTTGCAGAGTCGGCAACGACTCACAGCTTGCAACGAAGCGTCTGAAAGGTCTGTCGCTGGATAACAATGGCAAAAGATTCATTGGAGACATTGAGGGCGGTATGCGGGCATGGAAAAAAGACGTGGACCCAACGTTGCCTTTTACCTGAGATAGAATAGGGCGGGCGACGGTAGAGGAAAGGCTTGGATATAAAAAGTTGAATTTGTTCTGACGAGGGGGGCTGGGTCGTCATGATACATACTTTTCCTACGCGATACCCCTATTGCTACAAAGAGAGGAGGGCGGCCTTCGCCCGCTAGCCATGATCCTGATTAATCCTAAAGAAACTGTCCTTGGCAGAGAGCCGTGGTGGGAGGTCGTTGGGGTGGTACTCTACACGAAGCTGACACGCTTCTTGTTGAACGCTCGCTGGTCCTTGAGCCATTGACGGTAGCCCTTGACGCTTGAGATTTTCTCGCCGTAGAAATCGGGGACTAGGAGAGATCAGTACAGGGAGCATGGCCTGTTGATGGTGTTTGCACTTACCAGGGTTACCAACAGAGGAGACCGAGGGATCAACGCGGTTCTTCTTGATGCGGGCGAAGAATTCCTTTTCCTTCTGGCAGGAAATTCACGTTAGCCACAGTCATTGTCTTCCAGAACACAGCAAGGACCACTTACCACCGTCATCTGAGTCTTCCACCTTTTGTTCAGCGTGTAGAACACAAGAGAACCAACGCTAGGTCCAATAAGCCATCCAAGAGCACCGAAGCCCATCGTCATGAGACCCATCGTAATGAAAGGATCCAGAGGAATCTGTGTCACCAGCGGGTCCGCAATGCCAGTAGCCAGGATGCCAGCACCGCCAACAAAGGATCCCAATCCAGAAATGACGCTGAAGCCGAGCTGCCACCTTCTACGGGACTTGCGCAGCTGGAAGAAGGTCTCCCAGTCCAGCCTGTCCCCCGGCGCAGGGGCGGACTTTTGTTGCGCCGCAGCGGAGGCGGCAGCGGTAGCGTTGCAGCGCTGGGAGCAGGGTTGGCGGACGACGCGGGCGACGATGGAGGACGAGGGAGATGCGGCGAAGGCGGCGCTGGTTCGGGCGATCGGGCCGGCTGTTGAGGCGAGGCCAATTGGGCGGGCAGAGGCTTGGTGCTGCTTCATGGAGGCGGTCGAGTACGGGCATGCGGTGGTGCGGGCGATGGAAGAGGCAATCGATGCGCGGGCGGCGCCCTGGCCGGCGAGGCGGAGGGCGAAGGTGCTCGTAGGCGTCAGCATATTTGCGAGGCCTTGGCGAAGTGCGTTAATGGGATCGAGAGATCGTGGACATGCACGTTGCGGTGCGCGCGCGAGTAGAGGGGAGATTTTCTTTCTGGTGGTTTGGCTTGGTTTGCGAAGAAAGAAATGGAAACCGAAGCTGGGATGTGGTGGATAGAGCTTTGTGCTCCTCGCGATGAGGTCAAGCTCGGCCCACCAAAGATTTGACGCCCTGCGCAGCGCGCCGGTAGACGCCCAGCCGCAGCTTGTGCACGGATCTTTTTGCAGGCCCTGCTTCCCCGGATCGCATGATCCTGAAATCCAAGGGTACTTGGTGTCTTAGATAATACAGGATTACGCTCAACTAATTACTACCTAGGGATATTATAGAGTAACCTTTGGATGATTTAAGTTCAATTTTATACTAGGCTAGAAATTATTGATTAAGTGCTATTTAAATCAATGCATTCCAAACTTATTTCAATACTTTGAACGTTACTTTTAATGGTATTAAAGGTTGAGAATTTTGTAATATTTCCAGTAGACTTATAATAAATCCTATATTTAATATTAGGTTAATAGGCATTATTTTTATTCTGACGAGTCTGGAAAATCGTAGCGGCTGTAACGGTGGAGAAAAAGCTAATTAAAGAATTAAGGCTTCTAAGTTTCCTCCCTCTCCCACCCGAGCGACGCCGCTGCCACGAAACACAGCGCAGGTATCGGCAAAGCACGCGTAGATAACAGGGACGAAATTTCGTGGTATGAATGACTCTCTTCAATTGGTGTCACATTTTTCTGACGTCTCTAGCCCGCGGCGTTGTCGAGAACATAACGGGTTGTCTTTACAGGCGGAAATCGCGACACGACCCAAGACGAACACGAACGCCAATTCCCAAACCACAAGTACCTACCTTATGTGACGAGCGATCCCACCGAAGCCTTCCCCGACCTACCGCTACGCCGTTTCGTCCAACGGAATCACCAAAAAGGGGTCAGGCGTGGCATGGTGGACTTCTCCGAAAGGAGCAAGAAAACCATGTCGCGACCTTCAAAGAAACTGGTCTGGTTCGGTGGTAAACCCCCCACCCCGGCCGACACCATCAACGGCGCCGCCACTACCAACACCAACACCACCACCACATCCTCTGCATCCTCAACCTCGACCCGGCAGCCCCGGAAGAACCCCGAACCCGAACCCGAACCGCGCAAGCTCGCCGTGGTCCTCGAAGACCTCCCGACCTACCGCCGCTATAAACGCGGCAGCGGTCCTCCTCTGCGCCCGATAACCCTCGCTCCGCCCCGCGACTCGACGGCCTACATCCGCGACGAGTTCTTCGTCCCGCCCGCGCTCTCTGACGACGGTAAGAAGCGTCTTCAATACGTGGTGGGATGGATGGATCTGCCGGCCGCGCGGGTCGTGGTCGACGCCGAGCGGATATGCGACTACGTTTCGCCCATGGCGTACGAGGAGTGGTGCGCCGCGAGAGCTGAGGAGCGGGATGAGGAGGAGCGACGGCTGGAGGAGGCGGAGAATGTGCGCACTGTTGAGGAGGCTGTGGCGAGGGAGAGGGGCGCTGCGATACCAGGCGAGAAGGGCGGAAAGGGTGCAAAGAGGGGCCGGAAGAGGAAGCATGTAGCGGCGGAAGAGTTGAGGACACCACCACCCGCCACGACTGCGGACGGGAAGAAGAAGAAACGGGGCAGGCCGAGGAAGAATGTGCCTTCGCTTTCTACACCGTCCAAGAGCGCCTTGGTGGATGACTTCAGGGAGTTCGATACGGAAGGGGATGTGGACGTCGAGATGGAAGAAGCAGCCGACGAAGAGGCCGACGACGAGGCCATCTTTAGGCAACTCAACGGGACTGGTACATCGACACCTTTACTCCTGACGGAAGACTCATACGACTCTGGCGAACAGAGCAGTCTCCCCGCGGCCCTAGAACCCCCGAGCAAGAAACAGAGGACCCGGTCACCGAGACCCGCGCTATCGCGATTCATGCCGGGCATCGAGACGGACACCAGCAGTCGGAGTACTCCCTTTGACTCGTCCAGAGGAGCCACCAGCTCACCGGCACTACCGCCGCTACCCCAACCGCCGGCGGCGGGTCTCCAGAGTAATAGTGGCTGGCCTCGGGAGTTGCCTATCTTCCCGCCGATACCCCCGGCCTCCGCGAACCGCACATCCACGCCCACGGCTCCGCGGATAGCAAAGACACAGCAACCGCCGAAAAGGTCTCTCCTCTCAATACGAGACCCCCCTTCCACGCCCCAGCAGTCATCCTCGCCAAAGGTGCGAACGCCTACACCGAAAGCGAGCAGTATGCTTCCCCCTCCAGCGACAGCGCCCACGGCGTTGAACACGACACAGAACGGGACAGGCACGGATACAGGCTGGACTCACACTCCGATACCGAAGCCGGGCTCTACGCCTTTGATACAAAACACGACACCTTGGACGATCTCTCTCGCGGCCTCCAAATCCTCAACCTCCTATTCACAACTGACGCCCTCGCAACCAGTTCAGTCAATAGAACATCCCATTTCTACGACGCCTATACCAATACCCAAGATACCAACCTCAAAACCACACATCATACCAAGCTCACGAGAACCACAACAAGCACCGCTACCACAAACCGCCTCAGCACCCCCCGCAACGACAACAGGTAGCACAAGCGCAGCCACAAAATCCAAATCCACCACAAGTAGACTTCACACCGCGCGGAAAACCGGAACGGTAGCAGCACCAACAGCAACACAAGATGATGACGAAAAAGAGGAAGAAGAAGGAGAAGACGAACAAGTCTACGAAGTCCTCCGCATCGAAGGCTTCGAAGACCGCGTCTCCCGCCGCAGCGGCAAAAAACTAGGCCGCTTCTTCCAGGTCCGGTGGAAGGGCAACTGGCCCTCGTCCATGAATCCGACGTGGGAGCCCGAGTCCAACATCCCGCAGCACGTGATTCAGAGGTTCTACTTCGAAAAGGGCACCACGCCAAAGAGGAACATACAGGCGGGCGCCATGGATAAGTACCTCGTGCTGAAGAAGTACGCATCCGTGGCGCGGGCGGTTGAGGGCGAGGACGAACTTGTCGGGGGCGATGGACATCACAGCAGCAGTAACGGTAATGGGGTTACGGCTGCGGCTAAGGCTGCACTTGCGACAGAGGAAGGCGATGAGAATGCTATGGCCCAAATTAAAGTCGAGGGCGATGATGATGAAGGCAACGATATGATGCTCGTTACCGACTTTCGAAACCTTCTTGACCCCGAGAGAAGGTTCTAGATAGCAATGACCAAGTTTATGATAGCGATTCCCTGCGAGCATCGAGTTGCATCAACATTAGGTGGTTTGGATTCGCGATCAGCGGGTAGCCAGCCACATGACAAAAGTAATAAACAAATAAAGAAGAATTAAACAGCGATACCGAGACCAAGACATCGTCTTCGCAGGCAACGCTGTGGGTCGCCCACTAGAAGTGAATTCCTCGAGTTGTATCCAAGCCCGGAGGACAAGAAACATGTCACCATCTAGTTTCAATTGGTTGTTTCTAGACGTCCCACAAGCTCCCCACATCGCGCATGGAACATATCTTCCAGCTCCGTGAATACAAGATGTAGACATAGGCAAAGTGCATTAATGATACCTTTTCAGAGGTTTGCAATGTTTCCCTGGTCTCTTGGATATTCACTTTTGCGGTTGAGATTTGCGAGCATGACGATCCAAGAGTCGGCCCGCTGAGGCTCAAGTCAGTAAGAACGCAACTTACTCACCATCGGTCAATTACATATGCTAAGTACGATCCGAATGAGGTACATGGAGAGCATGGTCGAGTGATTCAAATCATATATCTGTTCCTTCAAGCTTGAGGGTTTCCTACTAAGGAGTTTCGTTGACTTTTAAAGTAAGAAGAAAGGAGCAGATAATGCAGCACATACATGATGGTCCGTTCTCTGCAGAGTAGTGTAGATTCGAGAATAATGGCATTTCCAATCTCACGTGAGGGATTGTATCCTATGCACGGTATCAACAAAACACCGTATACCACCTTGCCAGAAGAGCTTCAAAGTGCATCCACCGTGGTGATATGTGTAAGCTAGGTAGGTTCCTTATTGAACGATGGTCTGAACATGATTCCGCAGCTCACCCCCACCAATCCCGCATCCCGCCGCCCAGGTTTACATAAGCCAAACCTCGAACTCCGACGCGCGCGCATTCTCCCTCCGCCGCTCCCCCGGCACGCCCGCAGTGTATGCTACTTGACGCTAAAGATAAGGCAGTATCAAAGTACCGTAGGCCGGGAACCTCCCTCAAAGCGTCGTCATCCAAACCCAAAGTCCGAACGTCGACACAAAAAGTCTCCCGCGCCCACCCACAACCAGCTAGTGCCCTGGCGCAACTCACCAGTTTCAGCATTTCCCTTCCAACTTCAACATCCCATCTTCATCACTTCTCAGACTTTCTGGCATCATCCCAGCTTTTTCGGTCTCGCTACCTACTTCTTATCTACAGCTTGAGCTTGAGCTCGTTCCCCTACAAGAACGCCCGGTCCACACCAGCTCAGCTCAAACCATATTGATCAGCATAGATTCACGACCGACCGAGCTTGGCCTTCAACAACCATCTTCACCCTCGTCCGTCGCAATCGACGTTGAAAAGGACGGGGAACTATGACGACCTCACTCCCCCAAGAACCAATCTGCCTCCTCCGCCGCCTAAAAGACCTCGCCACCCTCTCAACCTCCTCCGCCCCCTCAAAGAAATCATACCCTTCCATCAAGAGCATCCCGCGCACATCCCCCTCCCGTCTCGCAGCAGCGGCAGCGTCTCCAGACTCATCCAGCAGCGATGCATTGTCCACCACCACCACCACCATCGAAGCAGCAGCAGCAGCAGCAGCAGCAGAACAGGCATCAGTCCTCTACCTAGCCTACGGCTCCAACCTAAGCGCAGAAACCTTCCTAGGCGCCCGCGGCATCCGCCCAATCTCCCAAGTAAACGTCTCCGCCCCGGGTCTCTCCCTCGTCTTCGACCTCCCCGGCCTGCCCTACACGGAACCCTGCTTCGCTAACTCGGCGCCTCGGAAGATCCCTAACCTCCCGGATCCGAGCGATCCTCCCAAATTCCCGCCTGTGCCGCCGCTACCGCCTCCGGCCGAGTCGAATCAGAAGCAGAAGCACTCGAGCAGAGGAAAGGAGAGCGCCACGACACCGACGACACCAGACCTGGGCTGGGACAAGGGCCTCTTTGGCGTAGTCTACGAAGTCACACCCCAAGACTACGCCACAATCGTCGCGACGGAGGGAGGCGGCTCCTCCTACAAGGACATCCTCACCCCCTGCATCCCGCTCCCGCCCCGCGTCTCCGTCCCCGAGAAGCCGCCCATCGATATCCCGCGCCCGTTCCTCGCGCACACGCTCTTTTCCCCGTCCATCCCGGACGCCGAGCCCGAGGAGCCTGACAACGCCTCTACCTCATCCTACAACTACACCCACAACTACGACAACAACACCAACGACGACGACAAAACCCCAACAGACCCCCGCAAAAAATGGTACTACCGCTTCCTCCGCCCAACCCGCCGCCCCGACCCTACCTACGCGCAACCTTCTCCCCGGTACTTACACCTCATCACCTCCGGCGCGGCAGAGCACGAGCTCCCCGACGACTACCAGCGCTGGCTCAACTCCCTCGTCCCTTACACCCCGACCTCGTCACGACAGAAACTCGCGCAGTGGCTGCTGAAGGCGCTCTTCCTCCCCGTGTTGCTGGTGTTCTTCGCGCTGAATAAAAAGGTGGCCAACAAAGAAGGAAAAGTGCCCGTTTGGTTGGGTGTCACGTTGGGGATTGTATTTAATTTACTTTGGATGGGGTATGACGCTGTGTTGAGGCCGGTCTTTGGGGATGGGGAGAGGACGCAGGAGGAGGATGGCGATGAGAAGGACGGGTGGGCCAGGGGCAGGTCGTGGAGGGGACGTGGAGGTGCTGGGTGTGGTGATGAGGAGAAGATGGGATTACTCGAGAATATGGACTGAGCATATGTTCTGAGAATGTGACTAGAAGGGGCATATAAGTAATATACGCAGAGAATCACGTTTTGAAGGATCTGGGTTCCGGTTATTATGATATTCTCCGTCAGATCACGAGGAGGCCCATATCCATATAATCAGATATTGGAAAAGCAAAAAGAGTTCACCAGCATGGCTACATCTATTGGCGATAATTATCCGTGCTCACGCTGGGATTTGAACTCGGGTACTCGCTAAGCCTGTCGTCGAGTAGGCTGGTTGGCGTTGGGAATTTTCTATTGTCGACCATGAAGCACTTCACCACCCAGCCAGTTTGACCTGATCCGTCGACCTAGACGGGCGCCTGCTGGCTGGTGACAGGAATGGACTTGGAGGGGTATCTAGAGGAGAAGACGGAGGATGGATGATTCACTCGATAGCGCATAGGATACTAGGGACCACAAGATTGACCAGAACAATGTGCGTCCTTGCTTAACCTGTCTAAATACGTTCCTTCACACCATGCCACTGCGGTAAATGATCCAGGGATATCAACATATGTCTTTCAAAAACCAAAAACCCAAGACTCCGGGCCTCTGCATCATACCCCCCCCACACACAAACACAAACACACCAACGTGCCATCGTACCTCTTTCCGTCAACGACCAATAATGTTCCGTATTATCCATGCTTCTTTTTGACGATCTCAGATTCCCACCACATAGTCCTCAATTCTCCGAAGCAGACACCAAGGTCGGGATATCATCGACACTGTATCGTCCCTCGAGAATGCCGTGCACGGCGGTGAAGAGAGGGTAGTGCTTCTCCTGGCCCCTCGCCTTCAAAAAGCTGTTGACCTCTTGCGCCGTGCTCGTACCCTGAAGCAGCTGGCCGTTCAACTCGCGCTTCTCAATCTCCTGCACGCTCAGCCCCTCGGCCACGGCCATCCTGGCGCACTTGAAGTTTCTGCCACCGCTGCACGAGGTAATCAGATCCGCCACGCCGGCCGACTCCTCGGTAAACGTCCCCGTGTGCACCGTCTGGCCAAAGAACTCCTTTCCAAAGTTGACCATCTCTAGCAGACCCACGCGCATGATGGCGGCCTTGGCGTTGTCACCCCAGCCGCGGCCGTCGACGAAGCCGGCAGCAAGCGCGACAATGTTCTTCAGGGCGCCGCCCAGAGAGACACCAGCGACGTCGGAGACCATGCGGACGTGGAAGTAGGGGCGGTGGAAGAGGTGCTTGAAGATCTGGTGGTCCAGGGGAGGGTACTCGGCGGGCACGGCGGTGAGCTTCGTCTTGGAGGTGCGGCCGCGGGCGTCCTTGTGCTGCATGTCGACGGGTGTCAGGGGCGCGAGGCCGTTGCCGCCGTTGGCGTTGGGGTTCGGTGAGGTGGCACGCGGGGTCGGGGCGCGCGAGTTATCCATGGGCGGAGGGTCGTAGGCGACGGTGGTCTCGGACCACTTCTCGGCGGCGATTTCGGAGGCAATGTTGGCACCGGAGAGGGCACCGCAATAGATGCCGAGGCCATCACCGATCCATTCGGAGAAGAGGGAGACGCCGTCGTCGGAGACGTTGACGCCTTTGATGCAGGAGATGCCGCGAGCAAAGGGCAGGATGTGGCCGTTGAGCTGCTTGCAGACATTGCCGATAAACTGGTGGGGCAGGTTGAAGATCAGGATGGTGGAATCCTTGACGGCGTCCTGCAGGGAGGGGTTTGCGATGATGTTGTGGGGGAGCTTGATACCAGGCAGGTATTTTGTGTTTTCATGGTATTTGTTGATGACGGTGGTCAACTTTTGGGGCTTCTCGCCGAGGGAGGCATCGTAGTAAGGGGATGTCGAGTCGAGGGTGACGTCCTCCTCGTACACCCACATGTGCACATCTTCTTCAAAGAGATCGGGGAAGGCCTTTGTGTTTTCGGCGACGATCTTGGAAATAGTCGAGCCCCTGAGTTGGGTTGTGTTAGTGTCTGTTTATCTGGCCGATGCGGTAAAAGCTATCGGGGAGGAAGCTATGGGGGTCGCGATATGAGATATTGGGGTGGTGTATGAGAGGTGCTAGCTCACCAGTTACCGGAGCCCACGACCGTCACCTTGTGCTTCTTCTCTACGCCGAGGGAAGCCATTGTAGATGTGGAGTTGAATCGTCGTAAGGGAAAGCTGCTTCTGGCGATGGAAACAACAGGACGCAGTCTGAAAAGCATGAGGTACAGTGGAGCAAGAGGGTAAGGTAGGAAACGCGCCAAAAGGAGGGGGTGAAGGTTATCTTAATAAGTAGTGTACTGGCCGGGACCTGGAGGAAGTATCCGTACAGTCAGGTAAGGTAAGGTAAGGTAAGGCCCAAGGGTAAGGTAGGTCAAGTGGAGGAAGGGTAAAGCCGGGAGGTTCAGGTAAGACAGCTACGGTAAGGGAGGGTCCAGACAGGTATCGGCATCGGCTCTTCTTTCGGTGTGTGTCGTGTCTTCTGTGCTTGTCTTGGTTCACGGGTTCTGGGGAGGGTCACTCGGTCACGAATGGAAGCGCGGCAGCAGCAGCAGCAAGCAAAAAGCAGTTGATTAGCAGTGAGCAGCAGATGGCAGAAAAAAAAAGGGTGCAGCTCAGCATGTGGTTTTGCCCCTCCATCTTTCCTCCCCCTGTCTGTCTCCAGCTATCCCGGTTGTCCAGTGTCTTTGAATCTTTCCGGGAATCCACCAACGCCCACCGCACTCAATGCTGTTGCATTTTGGTGTCGGTTTGCTCCTGCCACTACAACTACCGCCGCAGTCAACCCCAGTTCCATCCCCGTCCTGTGAGGGAAGCTGCGACCAATTGTAGCCAGAATCCGCAGTCAGCTCAACTCTACCTACCTTACCTAGTACCTAAGGAACCAGGATGCTCCTGCCCAGCGGCAGTGTTGAGAACCAGCATGACGCACATCCAGACCAGCAGGGTCGCGGCAGCAGTCGTGACCGCTTTCCCAATCAGGTATAGTCGCTCAACGAAATGCCAGGGGGTTGAGGCCGAGTCGGCGGGCCCCTTCCCTTTTTTTTTTTTTTTTTTTTGCTGATCCATCTTTAGCACTTGCTGTCTGTTCAAACTTCTGGGCAGGCAGGACCGAGCTGAGTGCTGAGTTGGCCCGGGCGGACGAAGGTTCCTGACCACCGGGGAGCCTCGGCCGGACACTCCGCCTCCTCCGGCCCTGACCGAGGCAAGTCGGGGCCCATGAACCTGACATTTGCACGTTTGTTTATATCATGAAAACAGCGAGTCAACTTTCATCTCCCGGTCTCCATCATGGTCTCCCCATCGAGCCCAGAGCTCGGCTTGTCACAAGACAAAAAAAAAAAAAAAAAAAGTCAACAAATTGCTTTTCACCCCACCGTCCCTATCAATTGTCCCTTCTGCCTCCGCCACCCCATGTCCACAGTTCCAATGTTTTCAAAAGTGGATTCCTCTTGCCCAAACAAATAAAAACGATCCAAGATTACATGCAATGCACCATTGGCACTCCAATCCTCCCACTTTGCCCCCCACTGCCAGGATCCATGGGAAATCACATGCCAAAATGTCAGCTCGCCTTTTCGCTTTCGTTTCTTCACCTGTCAACTTCGTGCGGCGGCCAGCGTGCCTGAATCCCGGCCCCGGGGGAAAATCGTTAGCCCACGATGCCGATCGTCGCATGGGGCACACGCGGGTCAACGTCAACGAAGCTCGGGTTTCCTCAAATGTCTCTGTTGTTTCCTCATTGGCACATTCACGAGATGTCGCGGCAATGCGGCGTGCGGTTGTGGCCGCGCCGCGGCAGACGCCAGACAGCTATCCGGTCTACTACCATCCCGTTCGCCACCAAATCCTGGCCGCCGCGAGTCCTCTGCGGGCCGTCACTAAACCCAATTGCCCCTTCTTCCTGATCAACATCTGATTTGCCGCCTTGCCTCAAAGTGGCATGGTGCTGCCGTTGTTGTCTCTCTCTCTCTCTCTCGCATTTGCGGTCTGATGACGATCCCCCGCGAAGATGGACATGTGACCGTTTTCTCCAATATGTACTCGTTTCTAACAATATGATTGTTCCAAGGCTCTTTTATCGAGACTCTTGACCATCGGAAGCCAGGTAGCTCCGCGTCTTCCTGGCTGTATTACTTTATGAGTCTTCACTCGTCCACTCCCAGAAACGTCGATGAGCCAATGAGTGAAGCTACAGACATATTCTAGAATCTCCGGAGTACCATGTTCACGATCAATGTACGTCATTTTGTTTCTTTCCATATACCCTTCAGGATCAGCCGTTCATGCAACAAGGAAGTCCTTTGCTCGTAGCTTGATGGAGTATGCCAGACTGAGGCTAGTCATTCCTGACGGGCGCTCATAGCCGTTGCTACATGGATGAGCAGGTACGTCCGGGCTTAGAGCCAGTTGGCTGAAACCTCTTCATCGAGCTCAGAGCAACTAAGATGTCCTGTCGACTTCGGCCAGTGACTCACACAATGCAAATGCTCTAAAGAAATTACTTGATATGTTCATGGATTCTTGCCTGTTGGTACAGGTCTGGTCACGGGGTAGTCTCGTTGACTTTGCATAGCGATCTGGCCCTGATGTTATGATGTTACTAGACGTTGTGACAGTGAAACCTCAAGAAAAGGGGAGAGGAGGCAGGATCAATTTCTGTCGTCGGAGAGTACCACTTCGCACCAAGTCAAGTCTCACGGTTGGAAAGCATATGTCCAGCCAGAAGATTCTGAGACTCACGTCAAGGCCAAGAGAAAGAAGACCGACATATCGCGGGCTTAGTTTTCCCACCATGCACGATGAGGGTAGACCGCATGTGGCGCTACAATAAGGTCTTGTCAGTCACTTTCAACCGGCTGCTTTGTTCTTGGGGTACCCCGGAGTTGGCTCCGAGAGGAACCTCGACCACACGTCAATCATCATGACACTATATATATGATCACGTCGCACCAGCTTCTTGATGAATCGCTGCGAGCTATCTTCATGGAATACAATAGTTTCTGGGATAATGCCGATTTCTCATCATCTCAAGTACTTCAGCATTCCGCAGCTACAAGCGTTGAGCCATGGCCCACAGTCAAGAGCAGCGCTGCTGTTGGGCCAATTCCCGACTTGGATGGTAGCTAGGCAAGACGCGCATAGGACTCCGACGGGTATGTTGTGTTGAGACATGTCGTTGGTTTGCGAGACACCCGCACTCGCCTCCAGGAGTACACGGTTCACGCCGCGATGAACACCTGAGGAGGAGGTTCACCTCATTACTGGTCCGACCGTGATACGGGCTTGCTTCACTCAGCCGCCGTTTGTCCGGCGAGTATGAAGAACGCGCAAATACACTGACTTGCCGTGGGATCGTGAATACGAATCGACTTATCTCCTTGATGCGAATGCGTTGAACGCTTTGAATGCGAATATGTGTGCCGGCTTGCAATATCAACAGACTAAGCTCTGCATAGTGATCTTGACTATGAGGGTATGGAACGTTTGAATCTTCACAGTCTCCTGATTCCAAGAACATTCATCCTCTGCTGACATGACTTATATGACGTATCAGAAGTGACGCCGGATTCACTAGCCCTGGACAATGCCGGAAGGTCAGAGTCTGTGACACCCCTTTGCTGACACCACAGATCATTCAAGTACACATTCGCATCCGGGCAGATAGCATATTGTGGTTTTGCATATCTTCTGCTGGCTTTAAACCCTAATATAGATAGATAGTTACAGACAAAGGCTCTATCACTTGCACTCTGACCCAAGTCGAGACTGCTTCAGCAGCCTAGACGCGCTTTGGCAATCCGACATGGCACCTGTCTGTTCTGAGGTTATAGGCAATATCTAGTGGACAAGCAAATGAAATCACTGCCCTTGATCGGAAGTGGAAGTCCCTAGATTCCTCTATATCTGATTTTCTCACGGTTTTGTCGCATTCAAGATATCATGGTGCAGATGGAGATCAGACTGCCGACGGGGCAAGCTCCTTCAGCAAGTTTGATATTGTAAGCGGACGACCGCGTTAGACAGCGCGGCACGATAGGAGCGAAGGACCTCATTGATGTTGTCCAGCCACACATTGTGAACGAGCCGGGCCAAGCAACTCTGCCAGCCTGGCTATCTCGCGCAACGGCACGGTGAGGCTATCTCTGGTTGCAGGGGGCGGAAGGGCTAGACTCCTATAAGAGATGAGCACTAAGTGCGTCTTGCTGAGGTACGTCATGGTGGGAGAAATGGACAAGGGAGCAAAAAGCGGTGTCGACTCCATAGCATTTGCAGAAGAGTGAAGACGTGGACCAGTCGGAGAAGAAGGGTTAGGACGAAGGAGGAGTCGGGAAGAAATATTCAATTGACCTTGGGTAGTGCGGAGCATGGGAGTGAAGAATGCGAAATGAAGAATTCGATGTCGCGTTGCGACGGGTAATATTCAGGCACGGAAAGTCAATTGGACTGGCACGAGGTACGGGACACATGGAAGGCAGGTACGAGGAACGCTGGTTGCTGATCAGCGACAACAAACCAGGAAATGGGAAAGTGCAACTGCTACTGACACCTCGAATGGGTGGGAGAAGGAAAGCACCGGCTAGCGACGAGGCGAGGGCAGGAGGAGGGTAAGGTAGTGGTTGCAGATTGTGCGTTGGAAGCTGAGCTGGAGCTATCTTTCCGGAAAGAGCAAGGAAGGTGCAAGATGGCAGGGAAAGAGAAAGGAAGGAGGGGCATGAAACCGCGTCTGTGCAGCAAGGCGAGCCGCTAGAGCTGATGAGGGTGTAGAGCTGGTGACGTCACTTTCCTTTGAGTACTGGGATGGAGCTTTTTCTGATTCTAACCTTCTATCTTTTTTTCTTCGTCCGATTCCTTCATTTCCACCCACTTCTGTTAAGGTATCCTTTACTCTGATACTGGAACTCAAGGAAAGGAAAGACAATAAAAAAGAACACGAAGGTCTTCAACGAGATATGGCATGGCAGACGCATCAGATCATACTAGGGCCTGCCTTAGTTGGTGTACATCGACGTGGACCGCAGCATGCGCCGAGAATCGCACACCTTCCGAGTCAGATCATGGTCGCCCAAACCTGAGGATTCCCGACACCCTAATACGAACGAGCCTCACTACCAGTGCCAATGCAATCCTTCAAGCCAGAACAAGTGAAGGACACCGCCGGCAGGCTATGCGGAGAACATCTTCAGTATCGTTACGATGATCTGGGACGGCATCTCGACTAGTCAAACTATGGCATTACAAACCGTTGGGACACGACGGCAATACTCCAACAAAGATTGTGCATGGATTACAGCTGTCGACCTCCTCCCTCTGCCTTGATCCTGGTCTGGTCTGGCCTGCTCTCTCATCTCTGCTGCGGCCTGCCGTGCTCTCCCAGTCTCGTCTCAGTCCGAGTCTCCATTCCCGGCATGCGACATTAAAACCCCCCTGTTACCGCTCAAGTTTGTTGCACACACGATATGGAACACTCGCCGCACTGGGCCACAGGCACACCGGCTGGCTTTTCACTGGCCAACTCACACCACTCTCTCTGCATCGCGATCCGAAAACCACCCAAAGAGTGGGAATTCTC